AGAAGTGGGCCTCTAATGCCATTGGCAGGTATGTATTTAGATAATGTTATAAAAACTGCGTATCTGAAACATTCTCTGGTACTCACTGCCTCATTAAAAATATTGAATACAAGCTTTTTGTTTCAAATTTAATTCTTTGCAGCAGAGGAAGATTTTTTGGTTTTTAAAAGAAATTTAGAAATGCTCTCTTGTATAATCTTTTTTTTTATGCCAGCTTTCACATTGTTTTGCCCAGAAAAGTGTTTTATCTGGGTGTATCAGTAATCAGCTTGCTTTTACATGTGTAATACTGACTTCAGTTTATAGGATGCATTTTTATTCCTCTTCATGCAACTTGCCAGGAGTGAAAATCAAATTCTGTTCTGCCTTAGCACTTCTGCTGATGTGCCGTCCCCATTACTGACGTTAAACATACAACGTGTAATGGGACTTTTGGACTCTGCACTGAAACATTTGAGCAATTTATTCTAGTTTATCAAACAGTAGATGTGATCTGGAGCTAGGAGGAGAAATGAGGTACAACCATTTTTTAAGTCACGCTTTAGAATACAAGTTCTAAAAATTTAGCAGTGTAGGAACATTGGCAGTTTGAGCTTCACATTAAATCATTCTCTTCCCTTTGAAGTGGTCTGTAGTAATTCTCAAAGCAGCCACAAAATTAGCAGTTGGGCTGAAAGGTGCTTTTGGTTTAGTCAGCCTTAGGAAGTACTGATCCTCGTTTATATCAGTCATCGTTGCCCTGTGATATCTCATTGAAAGCAAGGGAAAGAACTTTTTCAATGTTGTATCTGCTAAGAAACATTAAAAAAAGACAAAAGAGCTGAGCTGAGGTTTTAGGAGACGAATTGAATCCTTTCCAGGCGCCTTGCAAGTAGGTGTCCAGCGTGTGACTCAAGCTGCTATATCAGCCTCGACACTGAGAGCTATTGAAGCAGAGCTGCCTTCTGTGGTGGTCACTGTGAGCACACGACAAGAGTACACTGAAGACAAAGCCTGCTCAGAAAACAGGCCTCGGTCCGCCAGTACCAGCAGCAGAGGCTCAGGTGGTACAGTGCTACTTTCCTTTTCTAGGGAAAACCCCTTTGTGTGGGGTAGGCTTTTTGTCTTCCAGTTAGTCTTTATTTTTTTATAACACAAATGTGTTTTGTTGGTTGAGAATTTTGGTGTAGAAATCCCTGTGCTTTGAAATTCCTTCAATAAAATGACTTAAATCTATTTTGCCTGAAATTCTGAGGTGAAATGCTCTTGTTTCTCAGAGTAAATTTCTTGCCCACATTCTCTTTAACGCTGAACCCCGTGTGTGCTAGTTCTTACAAGCACCAAAGAACAACTTGACCTGACTTATCTAAACTGTTCTCTCTGTTCCTCAAAAACTGCTCAGAGATGCCTAAAAAAGAAATGGGTGAACTGAGGCATGTGTGTCTGCCAAATCCCTCATGTCTTGAGTACTTCAGGAATTTCCTAAGCCGTTGGATGAGCTGGGTGGAACCTGCATAATAGCCATGGCTCTAGCTGCTTATAAACCTGGCTTAATTCCTCTTGGAACTCCTTTGTACTTTTGGCTTCTGCGACATCCTGAGGCGCTGAATTCCACAACTAAGTTATAGAAACCTCTTCATCTTGGGATTTTACTGTTCCCTGTACACTTACTTAGTCCTGAGTGCTCCCTGCTTGTTACTGTAAGACAAAGCAAGGATTTGCTTGCAATGGTTCATTCTCCTTTTTCTCTCTAAGGGAAGTATTGAACAACTCACAAATTTTGGAACTAGATGACAAAGATATATCCAGAAGACAAATGGATGAGTTAGAGCTGGTGAACTCCTGCAGTCCATTGCTAACATCTTAATTAATTTTTCCCAGGAGCACACGTTAATAGGCTCAGACAACTCTCAAGATATCCAGCTATGTGGAATGGGAATTCTTCCTGAGCACTGCATTATAGACATCACCCCAGAAGGACAGGTTATGTTAACACCTCAAAAAAATACTAGGTAAAGGAATAAAATACAGCTCCAGTTGTATAACACTTGTAGTTTTTTCTGGTATTTTATGATTAGTGGTGCAAAAAGATAATTAAAAAATGAACTGTTCCATGTAGTCTGAAGTAAGACAATTCTGCTTTTTGTATCCTGCTATTGCATTTTGTTTTAACTGTCATCTAGCTCTCTGTCAGCTCATATCTTTTGTTCTAAAGAGATTGCTCTGTGATCGTTTGTAGTCTTAAGTTTTCAAAGAGAGGAAGAGTAAATTGCATATGCTTTCAGCAAGTAGATACTCGCTGAGTTGCAGCTGTGTAGATGTAACTGTATCAAAATTTGAATTAATTTTCTAGGAAAGCTGTTGATATGCAAAGAGCTGCTGAAGCGTTTTTTGCTTTATTTGATTAAGTAGCAGTACTTGAAAAGCAGATGGTATATTGAAATTGATCACAAAATGACATGCATCGTCAGCATCTCCAATAATTCATTGTGAGATACACAAAATTCAAGAATTTCACATTTATCCTGATTTGTAGTAGATCCTGCTTTGAGCAGGAGATTGGACTGGATGACATACCGAGATTCTCTTCAAATTCGAGTTATCCTACAATCCTATTTTCAGACTTAATCTGAAATAAAAGTACTCTCTGATTATTCTAGTTAGTTTATTGTCTTTAAGCTATTTATATAGCTGAAATGTTTCTATTTTGTGTCTGTATTTCAAAGTAGTATGAACAGTGTTTATTTCCAGTGATATATTTTTTTCAGGCATCTCATTTTAAAAATCTAATTATACTCCCCAGACATAGCTGTCATAACATCTGTCCAAAAGTACTGAACTCCATAAGCTTAAGCAATCAAAAGAAGCTGAGTTTGAGGAATTTCTGAAACAGAACAGGGTAGATGAGTGAAATTTCTGGGGATATTTTGACTGGTTGCAATCCATAAACCTGTTCTCCTACCTTAACTAGTTACAATAAAGAAAGTAGTACTGAAAAAAAAAAAAAAAAGAGCCCTGTATAGATGCATTTGCTTTAGATTTTTGCCCTTTTCACAGGACATTTGTAAATGGTTCTGCTGTCTTGGGTCCTATTCAGCTACATCATGGAGACAGAATACTGTGGGGAAACAACCACTTCTTCAGGTACAGAAAATATTAAAGAAATTGTAAGTTTGCACCAACTTTGTTTTAACTTAAGATACAGGAAAAATGTCAGAGGAGCATTCAAGCTGCAGGAGGAGGTGATTTCTTTTTCATTGGGGTTATAAAGGCAATGCTGATGTCTGACTGTTCTTGAATGCTAAATGTTATAGCAAATGTGCGTGACTTCAGTTTCAGAGCATTAGGTTGACCTAACTTCTTTGTTTTCAAGGGACTGTAACCTTGCTGGTGAGGATGTTGCTCTAGTTATCTGTACTATTATCCCACTGAGGAGATTTAATTTTTGAGCTGGTAACTATAATGTGGTTCAGTTCTACACTAATACTAAGTACTTTCTCTTCCATGGTGAAAATATTACACCCTGGCTTTGACTTGAATAGGTTGCCTTTGAGATTTTGCGGATAAGGAATTAGATTTTTGATCTGTCTTATACAGTGATCTGGATCTTATAAGGTCACTGTGTTCTCTGTTCCCTGGAGTTCCAGCTCCAGCCATACCTGCGACCTTCCCATATCAGACAGGATCACTAGTGGTAGTTTTCTGTGAAAGATCGTTTTCTTGAAACCCTCTGTAGCTGGTCTGAAATACGTTCAAGATCAGTGGATTTAAATTATAATCTAGAATTTAATTGTTTTCTCTTATGTTTGAAAGAAGAAATGGGATACAATTTCGTTATTGCCTCTAAATTATTTGGATATGGGACAACTGAAAAAAATCATTATTATCTAAACGATATGATTAGTAATATCAGGTACTCTCTAAGAATAGAGTGTAGAATGGATTAGGTAGTTTGCCTTGAGCTCCCCTGTTTACCCTGCGGAAAACTACACTCACGGGAGATCAACAAATTTTTTGAAGGGAAAAATCTACTGATTTGGTTAATCTGCTTAATTTTAATCATCTTTGAAAACAACCCTTTGTTTCAGAGTTGAACAATTAATAGTTCTGTAAAAATTTTCCTCTTATTTAAAGGCTGAATTTGCCAAAGAAGAAAAAGAAGGTGGATCATGAGGATGAAGAGCGAGACAACTCTATGAAGTGCAGTAGTAGTGTTGAGCAGCTGGACGCAGATGGAGACAATTCCAGTGAAGTGTCCAGTGAGATTAACTTCAGCTATGAATATGCCCAGATGGAAGTCACTATGAAGGCACTTGGTAGTAATGGTAAGAAGCAACAGAAATTATTGGAAATTGGTACAGAATATGAGGTTACGTCTTCAGGGACTTTTAACCACAGACTTCTTTCCCTTAAAACTTAGTACTGTAGAATTTTCCTTGTGAATGACTCATCGTAGCCATTTCAGTGTTTGAGGGGGGAAAAAAAACCACCACAGAATGTTTTGCTTGGCTTTTCTTGTTGAGGAAAAAGCCAAAACTGAAATATTGGTGGAACCACAGCCTCAAATCAAAATGTTTTCACTTCGTTGTTTATTTTTCTTGTGCTATGTCTCACACAGGCATTAGCTGTAGTGATTTCTGTCTCTGAAACCATGTTCCTTAGTTTTTGTGGTCTTATGTAGCTGTACCAGAATGGCGTTATTTTGGGAAACGGGAGGAATTTTTTTTTCAGCTTGGTCTTTCCCTTTTCTCAGTTCTCTTAAATCATCCATCCAGTCTGTTCTGTAGATGTTTATTTTACTCCACAAATCAGTAGCATGTTTTTAACATGCATTACAGCAAAAATATAAATCTTCCTCCTTTTATATGCTGACTACGTTTACCATCTAGGACATTCTTCACCATGGATTTCAGTGGCTGCTGCAGTCCCTCGTGTGGATAACTGCAGATAAAGAATGGGGAAGGGAAGTACCAAATCACAGTAATTTGTGCCTTGCCCAAGGTCTTACAGCATGTCTGTAGCAGAATGTGGGAAAGATCTCATGTTTCATAGAATCAGAGAATGGTTTGGGTTGGAAGGGACCTTAAAGATCATCGAGTTCCACCCCCTGCCATGGGCAGGGACACCTTCCACTGGACCAGGTTGCTCAAAGCCTCATCCAGCCTGGCCTTAAAATTTCTGAGTCCACTGTCTTCGCCCCATATTCACTACGTGATTTTTTCCATTTAATTTAGTGGTTGCCAGGCGTGTGATCCCCAGAAGTACTAGCTTCTTTGTTTTCAATATCTGCTTAGATCCAATGCAGTCAATCTTGCAAAGCCTGGAGCAACAACACGAAGAGGAGAAGAGATCTGCCCTTGAACGACAGAGGCTGATGTATGAACACGAACTGGAACAATTGCGAAGGCGATTGTCTCCAGAGAAGCAGCATTTCCGCAGCATGGACAGGTTCTCCTTTCATTCTCCCAGCGCTCAGCAGCGCTTACGGCAGTGGGCAGAGGAGAGGTGGGTAACCAAATCAGGAGTGTTCATTTAAAGTTTTTTAGTGCTAGCGTGTTGTGGTTTGAATCCTAGGCTAGTAACTGGGGCTGTGCTCCCTCCCAGCTCCTCCTGCCCCTGCAGACACGGGCACAGCAGAGAAGCTGGAAAGTCCTTGACTGTCCTGGTAGCAACTATAAACATCAGTATGTGATCTGATCAGCCTTCTCAGCATAAATCCAAAACCCAGCCTCTTACTTGCTACTATGAAGAAAGTTAACTCTGTCCTAGCCAAAACCAGAACATAATGAATTTTGCAAGATTTTAATGGCATTGCACGCCTCTGCCAAATTTCTTAGAGGACTTCTGCAGGGGCTTGGGGAGGGCAGAGCGAAAATATGAGTCTAAGAACAATCAGACCTATAATGCTAGAAAGGATGAGAAAGAATGAGTGTCTGCTTTGTTGTTAAGGAGAAACTCTGTCCTGATCGGCAACAAATTTGACTAAAGATGAGGTTATTGGAAGAAATTTTGGGACTCCTATAGGAGTTTGTTCTTCTGTGGATCATGACTCAGCTGCTGGAAGGTTGTATTTCCTCTTGATTCTCATCCATCTGTCTGAGCTGAGCAGGGTGCTGGCAACCAGAAGGGTATGAAAAGGCAGTAAGAGGATGATGCGAAGAGTTTTGATCCAGAGCATTGCAAAAACTGTTTTAATAACCACAGAGAGGCCACTGTCCTCTTTACCCCTCCTAGGGAATTGCACTGAGGTTGTTTCCTTCAGCCTCTAAATGATCATTTCCAGTACCACTGTCAAAAGAGCAGCTACAGGAGGAAGATGAAACATACCCTAAAAATAATGAGTATGGTAAAGGCATTGTAATGAGAAAATACAAATTCATTTATATGGCTAGAGAAGCAACTTTTGAAATAGAAAATATTTGAGACAGTCTAACAAGGTGTTAGCTGTGCGTCTGGAATATTTTGTGGTACCAGGTTCCTGTGTTGCACAGTTGGCACACTCTCACACTTGCCAATGCAAGTGAGTCAAGTTGTCTGAATAAATCTTTCTCTGTAAGATGGAACATCCACATCTGTGGTGGGGAAACTCTGGAATAAACCACACAAGGGCTGACTGTTCAGCAGATGCATGGAGAAGTCTCCAAAGCCAGCAGTATGCTAATGTTCACACTGCTAAATTAATATAGATAGTATGTTTTTTTCGCCAGAAGAAATGCAATTTAACTTGCCTGATTTTTATGTTAAAAAGCTCAGTGTTAAGACTCCTTCCTGTCAAGTGATCGTTTGTTTTGCACTCAGTTTCAATACTTGAATGCTGATTTTTCCTCTTTCTCCCTCCAAATCCCCTTCTTTTAGAGAAGAAATGTTGACCCACAGCCTGAGAAAGCTGCGAGAGCAGATTGTTAAAGCCAATTTGTACGTGAGAGAAGCCAATTTTATCGGAGAGGAACTGGACAAGAGGACAGAGTACAAAGTTACCCTCCAGATCCCAGCTTCAAGCCTTAATGCTAACAGTAAGGTAAGGTAGCCCTAATGGAACTAAATCATTGTTCAGTAGCTTTGCCCCTCAGCGTTTATATTTGTCATGTTCTGATTTTAATGATCTAGCTAGTTTGCCAGTCTATCCATGTGTAATAAATGTGGCTGTTAGCCCATGCTACATTCTTAAGTTTTTTTACCATGAAAGTTTTATAGTGTGGCAGCTTATCAAAAAATGTTATGGTGCAAGACATCACTGGTGTTGAAGTTCACGCTTCTGTTGCAGAGTGATAAAATCTGTGCAGGTTAGGTAGCCTCTATTTCAAGTATTTACCATAACCTGGTGGACATTTGGCTTTACATCATCCCAGTGAGTTGAGAAAATGCTGTCATCCCCATTGTACAGCGAAGAACTGGAGCAGAGAGGATTTGGATGGTTTGTTCCAGGCATCTTAGGAATTTTGAAAGGAGGGAACTGAACCCAAACTTCCATGTCCCAGGCTCCTACCTAAGCTGGCTTATTCTTTCTGTTCTTGAGGTCAGCTCAAGATTTTGGTGATAGTCAGGCTGTCATTAGTACAGTAGATGTGTTTTATTCCAGGATTACAATTTTTATCAATTGCTTAGAAGTTTCTCTTGGTTGCTTGTTTTTCTTGCAGTTTTCTGGCACATCTATAAACAGGATGGTAAAGAGGGTTAAGTGTCTGCACTAGTTGGAAGTTGCAGACAGTAGTATAGCTGCAACTCCAGGCTTGCTGTAACTTGAAGATCTTTGTGAAATGCTTCAATGTTCCTATTTGTGACACTTATGTAAGGTGAAAATCCACGGAAACTAGTGCCCATAGCTGTGATTAGACTGTGCAGTTAAACTGAACCCGAATGTGCTGTGACAGCTGAGCTCAGAGTCTGTCACACTTGAATTTGGTTGCTCGACCTAGAATTAAAAAAACAAAATCTAAAGTTTTCCCAAAGATGTTCTCAGTTTTTGATTGTTTTTAAACTATTCTTTCATTGTTGTGACACAGATTCCTTATTGATCTCTCTTTAATTGTTCTGTAGAGAGGCGCGATTCTCAGTGAGCCTGCTATTCAGGTTAGACGGAAAGGGAAAGGCAAACAGATTTGGTCACTGGAAAAGCTGGAGAATCGACTGGTAGATATGAGGGATCTTTATCAGGAGTGGAAAGACTGTGAGGAAGACAACCCAGTAAGTAAAAATTACTCCAATATTGTGCTGACACAATTACATCCCTGTTAAATTTTTTTTGTTTAAGTAGATGTGAGACAATCTTTGGGGGGTGGAAGAGGGGAATATGCAAAGAGATAAGTTTTCCTGAGCCTTCCCTTTTCCTAGTACTGAAGTGGATCTTCGGCATTTAACCCTTATCTTATTGCTTTGATGCTTGTTTGCATGCATAGTTTGGTGACCAAACCCAGCATACAATAAGAAGCAGTAAGTAAACACAACAGTTTGGGCTGACTTCTCTAAATCTGACAACATTGAAGAGAAATTGATGAGGACAGGCCTTATGCTCAATCCAAAGTAAAATTCAAGCTTCCATTCTTCCTGTGATCTAATCTGGCCCCTTGCTTGAGTCCATTTTTCTTTCATTAGGCTGGTTGTGTGACACTTTGAAAGCTGTTTCATGAAAAGTTTGTTTTTCTTACATTGTTCTGAATGTGATTGAAGGTGATGAGAGCTTACTTCAGGCGAGCTGATCCATTCTACGATGAGCAGGAAAACCACAGCCTTATCGGAGTAGCCAATGTTTTTCTTGAGTGCCTGTTCTATGATGTGAAGCTACAATACGCTGTCCCAATCATCAATCAGAAAGGAGAGGTTTGTCATTCCTCTATAATCTATCCTTACTCAACTGTTTAATTACAGCCTGTGGATCTTATTGCCAGTATATAGTATTTATGTTCCAGTTTCACGTGCACAAGCTCTTTGCTAATAATTTGGAATTATGCAAATCCCATAGTACCTTACTAGAGTTGTTTAGACAGCTCTGAATCCCAGCATAGTGATTGTGAAATGAGAAAGCTTTGTGAGTGCCTTTCTGAGCAAAGCAGCCCAAAATAAATACTCAGTAGAACAAGTGTGAGCTCCACTGGCTTTCACTGACTATTCTCAAGAAGGCTCTTAAATACATACTGTAAGAACAACTTCCGAGGCAGCTAGAGCATACCAGGCAACATTCTCTGTGCTCTGCGTCACGTGCACTTTGCAGACTCTCTAGAGACTGGAGTGAAGGTGAGATTGCAGTATGCTGCTCCCAAAGTCACTCTAGTGGCCGATTTCTTTATGTTTTTACAACAAAGGCTCTTTATTTCTTGCCCCAAAGCATTCGTCATCTGGTGCAACAGATGTACAGTGCAGAACAATAGAAAGGAATAAGATGTTGTCTGCTTACAGACTGTAAACAGCGGTAGTTGTAGTTCTTTGAAATGAATCTGTCACTGTTTTCTGACACACAAGTAATTCTTAATCCTTTCTTGTCAGGTGTCAGGTCGTCTCCATGTTGAAGTTGCTCGAGTGAGTGGAGAGATAGATGACAGGTTGGTTGGAGGTGAGGATAGTCCAGAGTATTCAAATGAAAATGACACTCAGGAGAGAAAACTTGTCTGCCGGGTGAGTTCCAATGATATCCCAAACTCTGAGCAACCTTCTCTCTTTCCATCCCAAGTCTTAAAATTCCCTGGTGCATTGGTTTCTGGATGTTAGATGTCTCTTTGTAGCCTGTCCTGGTGCCCAGCGTTTGTCTTGAAGTGCAGCTGTGTGGTCTTGTCGCATGATATTTTGTTTCTTGAGCAACTGAAATAATACAAGAGAACTAGATGGTTTTTGTCCTCTCAATCTCCAAGATTTTTTTTTTAGGTCCACAAGGTATTCATTAAACTATATTTATATGTATTCATTAATCTATATGTATATGCATACAATCTTAGCCCAGACAGTTTATTGCAGTCTTTGAAAACACAAAAGATCTGTGCACTGGGATTGCAGCCACAATATGTAATTCAAAAGCAATCATGGAATCTGATAAACTCCCGTTGGTCTGTGAATAATTCCCTCTCAATATTTCTGTCTCTAAATATTCAACATTTTGTGAGATACATCCAGTTGTGTTTATTATTGTTAAAAAGAAAGTTACTAGGAAGGATTTACTAGCAGTTCTGTGTTGTAGTAAAATGCAAGATAGGCCAAGGTGCAGATAAGAAGAGAGGGAGGCAAAAAGCACTGGAGTGAGTGGAACCCCAGCTTTACTGGCTGCTGGGTAATATGATCAATTTAGGGGCAACTGTGCTCTATTTCACTTTCTGTCCTGTCCCATAGGAGTCTTAACTCGTCAGAACTTAATTTGACAAATGGCAAATAGAAGTTTCTAAAACAATATGGTTAATGTGGTGGCTTTGTTTAGATCAGAAGGTGTATTCAAACATTTTGTTTCTGTTTGGCTTTGATTTTGAAAAAGAAGGGATGGGCAGCTTTTGTATTGTTGGGATTATTTTTGTGTTGTTTCTAGCATCACAGAATAAGGTCAAGTAGTATCTTAAGACAAGGATTTTGTGGAATAAAGGAGCCATTTTTTGTAGAAGTATGAAGTTTTTCTTGTAATCCTCTTCAGTTGTAAAGTTTTGGGTGCATCTTACCATTAAAAATTAGCAAAATGTTTTGGTGTGTTTGTAAAATTCATGCCTTTAAAAGCTTTTACATCCAAGAAGTGTGTGCCTGCTGGCATCTAGTGGCAATGTTCAGCTGATGCACCCAAAATACTGTCTCCAATGTATATCAATGCAGAAATTCTTATTTTGTAAAGTTTTTTCTTTTGTTATCCTTTGCGGTGGAACAGAATAGTATTGCTCTAACAGAGGTATTTGTAATTCTATGCCTGATGAATAACTGCTGTTCTTTGTTTCGCATCTCACTTTCTAGATTAAAATACTGCAGGCTACAGGTTTGCCACAGCACCTCTCCAATTTTGTGTTCTGCAAATATACGTTCTGGGATCAACTGGAGCCAGTTAATGTTGCACCTGAGGTGGATCCTTCCTTATCTTCCGTCAGCAAGGAGCCACGGTGCATGGTTGTCTTCGATCACTGCAATGTAAATTTTTTTCTATCTTATTAAAGAAACTGTAGACAGAAAAAGCTGATTTATGCTTGCATAACGGTTGCCTCTTTGCTCTCATTATTGTACTTTGTGAGGCTGATACCCTAATTCCATTTCTAATAAGAAATTGAAATATCTTCAGGGTCCATGTAAGTTTGATTGTACTACACTCTTCATTTGTACAAAAATCACAGAGGATGAAGAAATGGATGATGAATAAAGGAAGGCAATCTGTTCTGCAGAGAGACTTATCTTGAAGTTTACCCACAGTAAAAATGCTGCTGGGTGTGAATGGAAGAGTGATGTTCATCTGTGTACATGTGCTGATCACTCCCCACGCTGATACAGTGGAGAGAAGTGTCCCAGTCCTGGCACATAATGCCTGTTATCCTAATGTGGGTGTTGAAGTTAGGTCGTGTATCTTAGAACAGATTGTTTCTTCCTGTTGACTTTCGAGTAACTGTCTGAGCAGAGGCACCTTTAATAGAGATTTCTAAATTTGGCTTAGATGAATGCCAGCCAATCACCTGAGTTCTCATCTTGTTCTTTCTATCATTTGTCATTATAAGAGCAATTTATTCCACTTACCATTTGTAAAATAGCTATAATACCTTCTGATGAGTTTTGATTTTCTGATTCTGAACATTGGAATATTTTTTTTAAATTTTTTTTGAACCATTGGATCAGGATTTGGAACAGCATGTGGTCATTTTTCAGCTCTTCATAGACTTTAATCTTCAGCAAATCATGTATCTTTGCCTTGCCTCCTGATTTTACAAACAGAGGTGACAGTTCTTCCTTTCCTCTGTGCTGTGCCTTGGGGCCAGGGTGACTTTACTACATGCTTATATGAAAGTCAAGACAGCAAATCTCTAAGCCTAAGTCATGTAGTCATATTCATCAGCTGATTTGTTACTTACATACAGGAAGTTTCTGTAAATATTTCTGAAGACTTCATGGAACATCTTTATGATGGTGCTTTGGCAATTGAAGTATATGGGCACAAGCAGAGCGGTGACCGCAAAAACCCAGCCCTGTGGGATTTGGGAATAATTCAAGCCAAAACACGCAGCCTTCGTGACAGGTAAATGTGGAAAATTGATTCTTGGTTTAGAATTTTGCAAAATTACTGTGTGAGGTGCCCAAATTTGAAGCAGGTTTGGCATAAGAAGTCAAATTTTGATCTGAAGACAGCTGAACATGTGTTTGAGACTGTATCTGTTAGGCTATTATAAATAGACTCTGTCTATTGGAATGTGTCAGTAGGCTTTAAAAAAGTGAAAGAGAAGAAATACCCATCCCTGTTTCAAATTAAAAGTGGTAAAACTTGTAAGACTTTGAAGTCTCTTTTATTTAGGCAAACTCAAGTGCGTAAGTAGCGCTTTACAAAAGAGCAAGCTGATTATTTTCCTTCAGATTGTTACGCTAGTCTGGGCAAAAAAGAGCTATCAAGTCTAAAACAGTAAGATGGTTGTTCTGACTGAATGCTGATAAATTTATTCAAGGTCTGACTCCAGTTCTTTCTTGGCCATGAAGTGCCATCCCTGTGATGCTTCCATTGGAAGAGCTATATTGCTAATTACTTCAATTGGAGTTAATATGCAACAGTATGGTAATTGAGACCGAAGGGGGGTTGCTTTTTTGCTGGCAGCTATGTGTTGTCCCCAAAGTAAGTGTAGTAGCATTTTGTTAAATGTAAGTTGTTTTGCCACACTAATCAAAGGCAGTTCTGCTCCTTAATTTATTGGCAGTTATTTCTCTTTTTACTTCCAGCCTAAGCTTGTGTTGAGCAAGTTGAGTATTGAGCTATATATAGGGAAGTTTAAAAGAAAAGTCAAGAAAATACAGTAAAGAGGAGATGGAAAAAGAATGTTATAAAACAGTGAGTTATGTTTGGTAGCTGAGTAGTAAGTACATATTTCCTTTTTAATTTTGAGGTGCTACAAAAGTGTCAATTTCTTATATAAGCTCTTAGAAGAACTGGAGAGAAGGCAGTAGTATGATGAAGTTCAGGAAAGTGCCCTGAATCTCGAAAGCTTGTGAGACAATGTCATATTTCATCTGCTGTCTTCCGCAGGAATCTGATGGCACTGACAACTCTGGGCTTCTGTGGCAGTAGTTGAGACCAGAGCTTAAATGTTAGAATCTAGTGGAATTGGTTCTCATATTGGAATAAAGAAAAGGCTTAGCTCTGATGTTTGACTAAAACAATTGTCAGAAAAATTTATAAGCACTGCACAACTGGTAACCCTGTATAGTCACAAACAGTGCATCTCTTGGTGTTCCTTTGTGTCATCAACCTGCAGTCTGAGCTAATGCTTTGGGTTTTCTTTTGTTTGTTTTTTTAAAAAATTATATATTGGACATGTTTTGCAGGTGGAGTGAGGTAACCCGAAAAGTAGAACTCTGGGTTCAAATTCTAGAGCTGAATGAGAACGGGGAATACTGCCCGGTCGAGGTGACTCCTGCCAAGGATGTGTGCACGGGAGGCATCTTCCAGCTCAGGCAGGTAAGGTGGCACGCTCAGGAAGTCAGCTGTGAAAAGAGCCTGCGGAAATCTAAGAAGCTTCTGTTTTGTATGGTAAAGGGATGGTGTCCAAGGAACTGTCAAGCTTGGACACAAAATATGATCTTGTGTAAAATGAACATAAAGTGGAGTCCCTCTGTGTGCTGTGAAACTGCCGGTGTGCATAAGCTCAGATGTAAAGGTGATCAAAGGCTTTCCTTCAGTCTTTGTGCTGTGTTTTTTTCCCCGGATAGAAAGGACATCAGTCTCGACTGAACTTCATTATTTTTTAAAGCAGTCCAGAGTTCCCCTTTATTTGATCCTTCCAGCCAACTACTCCTTTGTTCTTTGAATTCTACACACATTAAATTGTTAATGCTTAACTGAGTAGTTAACATTTTTAAGTGATAAGCTGTTGCCCAGAGAACACTAGGAATTAGTAAAAGGCTGCACCTCTGAACTGTCTAGCTCCTTTGATTATTTTTTTCTTTTTTTATTATTTTTTTTTTAATTACGGAGTTTACTAAAAACCAGTTATTTTAGCTGTATTTGATAGTATTGGTGAGTAGGGATTTTCAGTCAAGGAGACTGGATCAAGAAAAGTTAACTGAAATTCCGGTACCTCACTAAATCAGACTGTTTTCTTTCCTCTTTTGTAGAAGAGGAAGAGGTCCTATTTTCCACCTTCAGAAGCATTAAAAATACAATCCTATGTGTATGTTTTGAAACCCTCCAGAAAAGTAAACTGGGGAGTTGCTGAGTGCTGGACACTTTTTTTTTTTTTTTTTTCTGTAAAGCCATAAATCCTGTAAACATAAGTTGTTGCAACAGATGGAGTATCTCTTGAAGACTGGGTCGTTGAGATTCCAGTACTCGCCACTTTGTTCTTCACAAAATAAAAACATAATGTTGCTTGCCGGTGACTGCCAGTAGAGGTCTCTCTGTTATTAAGCTTTCAGCATTTTATATTTTTTTTTCCAAGCTTTTCAAATTGTTCTTTTGGGCAGGGGCAATCTCGACGAATTCAAGTTGAAGTGAGATCTGTACAGGAATCTGGGACCTTGCCACTGATGGAGGAATCAATATTATCTATTGGCATTGGCTGTGTTCAAATACAACATGTCAAGTCACAAAAAGTACCTGAAAATTATCAGGTAAGAGTCTGAATAGTTCCTGTCAGCTATGGCTATTTCCAAGATCTACAAAGTGATGCCCTAAGTTTGTTGCAGTTGGAGGCAACTCCATTTGTTTCAAGTTTTAGTTTGGTTTTGGGGGATATTTTTTGAGCCTACTTCTTAAACGTATAAATCAACGTCAATAAGAATTGTCGGAATTGCTTTGATGGTGGTTTTAGGGAGTATTCAGGGTAGTTCAAATCTAAACCCCTGTCTTTCAGAAAGTATTGTGGAAGATCTTAATCAAAAATAATTTTCTATGGCAAAAATAATATTTATAAGACTACTTTCTATGTCTCTTCTGGTTTTGGGTGGGTTTTTTTGTCCTATCCTGAAATTCATTAGGAGTTTATCCAGTAGATTTTACTTCAAACATTAGGTATGGCAGCAATTTTAAGTAAGAATTCAAATTAAATGTTTTGACAACCTCAGAAGTGCTGCATCTGATCTTAAAGTGCACGTTACATTGGTCTGGTTTTAGGGATTGTCTTTCTGAGATGCTTCTATGAGTTTCTAGTACAGTTTGATTTTTTCCCCCCAACAGCTAAATTAAAACTTAATTAACTCTCCTCTGAGTTAGCAAGCCAAAACCTGGTGCAACAGAACAAGTGAGACTCTCAACTTGCTTGATTAGCTGCCCTGCTTGAGACAATGTCAACTAAATGTCAAGCAGTTTTTGGGACCTCTCTCAGCTTTCCGTAATGTTGGCAGAGTATGATTTCAATGCATGTCCATTCCCCTTTTTTGTCTAATCAGTCTTGTTTTTCCCTCTGTGAGGTCTGAAGTAGTTGGATTTTTTTTTTTTCGGTCTCCTAACCTAAGAAATTCCTTTACCCTCGTGTGTCAGGAGCACAGAAAGGGGGATTTTTTCCACCTTTGCAGAGATCTTGCTTTTCAGCAGCATCGTGGGCAGATTCTTGCTTTTCTTCCCCGTTATGCCTCTGCTAGGGACTCTGCCTGCAGGCTCTCCAGGTGCCCTTCCGTCACAGTGTCCCCAATACCCATGTCCTGTAGAGCAAGTAAACTGTTGTTTCTCTCCCACTCCTGAACTGAGCAAGTTTCTTATCTCCTGAGACAGAATGATTGATTCTTGCAAATTTTACTTGAAAGCTCTTACACACCCACAACATACACATGCCCCTTTTAGCCTGTTGCCTAAGGGGACAAATCCCGGGTGAGCATTCCATTTGTCTCACCCTGTTTCTTCCCCGGGGAACTTCTGATCTGTTGTCCAGTTTCAACCGTATCTGTCAGAGCTGCAATCCACAAATAGTATGTTCTTTCAAGGGGGAAGACTTGAGCTCTGCCTGAGAGAGAGACTAGTAACTTGTGTCTGAAGCTGGCCCAGGGTGCCCAGAGAAGCTGTGGATGCCCCATCCCTGGAGGGGTTCAAGGCCAGGCTGGATGAGGCTTTGGGCAACCTGGGCTGGTGGGAGGTGTCCCTGCCCATGGCAGGGGGTGGGACTAGATGATCTCTAAGGTCCTTTCCAACCCAAACCATTCTGGGATTCTTTAACTTGTGCTGGAAAGGGCTATTGAAAACCATGTTTTATTAGTCCTGTTGCTTACAATAGCCTTCTGACTTAAGCACCTCGATTTTTCGTCCCCTTATTAGCATTTCTCTATCTCAAGTAAATCACTCTCTGTGGAATGTGAAAAATTTTCTAAAGACATTGAACTAAGAAAATGCCTCCTCTTTATGGCTTTTTAATTTTAGTTTAGCTAAGTTTTTTGCTTTCATTACTAAGATACAAGAGGAGACTCCAGTGGCTTGTTATCACTTCAATAGATAAGTAATAGCTCCATGAGGAGTGGAATCCCCATTGCTCTTCCATTCACTGGGCAGGAGTGGCCGTTCTGCTTACGCTCCTTGCAAGTGGCTCTGCTTGTGATGAGTGTCAAGAGTGAAAGGTGGTGTTTCCCATCAGAAAATAATGGAAACCAAAATGCCAAAGGTCTACTTTGCAAATCCTGGTGTGACAGACAAAGTTATTCTAGTTACCTACCGATTGGCTTAGATTTTTACAGTTTTTCTCCTTTAAATGCTACAGCAAACTTACCTCGAATCCTTACACCAGACTTTGACTTTTCAGTGCTTGCTATAACATTCATACTTAACTCTTACAGGTACAATAGCACTTTTTTCTTTGCTGTCCAGGATCAATGTGTTTGATTCTATGATCATAGCATTGCTCAGACTTATGTAAGACTGCTAATGTTGCCTAAAATAGTTACATCTTTTGTATTTGGTGTTTGCTGCTATTAAAAAAAAAAAAATTAATGACGTGGTTTTGCATGTTTTGGCCTAGGAAGAAGAGGATGAAATGGACAGTTACCAGGTAAAAGATTTTGAACTCTCTCTTTTTACCAACTCAGACATTTTCAGATTAAAATGTGTTAGAGGAGGAACAGCACGTTATCTTTACTGTACGGGTTGGATATATAGAGAGCCAGTCTTCTGGAGAGACTAAAAGCTTAATTGCGTAGATTGCTACGCTCTGAAGCCATATGGGGGATTAGAGAGGTGGAAGGGAAAGAACGAGATGCTTTAATGTGTATTTACAGGACCAGATCCAATTGCTTTTCATCTTTGGTGTTCTGGGGGGAAGGAGTCTTCCTTCTTGCCATACTATGGTTAGATTGAGATTGTCCTCATTAGGAACACGAATAGCCACGGCAATGTTGAAGGATGCAGTCAAAATACTTCATGTTGTTTCATGTTATGGATGTGCTGTGTGTATGAGAGCTGGAGTACACTGCGTAGTAATCAACCCTTGGGCAAGCAAGGGGGATTCTGTTCCTGAAGCCCTAACACAGCACTGATAAAACTCCTGAAATCAGCACACTGGTTTTGTGTATGTAATGTCACAGTGACCTCAGCCTTAAAGGGGAACTGATGAGGTACAATACCTCTGATGTATTTTTCATCTTCTTGTGAATAACTTTAACAATGCACATCATCATCATTATAGATCTCAACTATAATGTGAGCAACCAGAGATTTAGGTTTAATGCTGACAGATTCTGGCATATGTGTAGGGATCTGCAGGTAAGTAATACAACTGCAGTTTATAGTCTTGCATCCACCCAGTTTTCTTGACAAAGTATTTGTTATAGTTTGATGTGGAGTGAATCTGAACTGCTCTTGCCATAAAAGAGGCTTGCCTGAAGGCATCCCAGAGCTGACAGCTTGTCTTTGTGGCACCCAACATGCTGCATGTAGAGTATCACTCATGATTTCTGAGCATTTCTACGCCAGGAACAAATGAACTGAATATTCTTAAGGATACTGAAGTGGTTTTTTTCAAAGGGCATGAACACTTAAGAAAAAATACTTTAAAAGGCTCAGTTGCAAATGCCATAACTAGGGACAGAGGCATGATGCGGGACAGGGATGGATTCCTAATATAAGGCTGCTAAACACTGGGTGGGAATGGTGAGGCATGAATGGGGACTGGGGTTCCTGGCTTTGCCACAAGGTAGTGGTTAGTGAGTTTTAGATTAGTTTGGGGACAAAGATGATGCATAAAGCGATTCTTCTTCAGCTGGGTAGTTCAGAATAACAGCTAGAGAAAAAGAGATGCCTCAGACTGGCAAGGAAAAATATTTCAAATAAGATGTGGGAAGTTGAGGGTTTGGACATGTGAAGAAAGGCAAAGAGAGCTGAGGTTTTTTGCCTTGAGGAGAAGAAAAGGCTCAGGCTGGATCTTGTCAGTATGTGTAAATGGGAAGGAGTAAAGAAGGCAGAGCCAGGCTCTTCTCGGTGGTGCCCAACGAAAGGACTAGAGGCAAAAAGTCTCCACTTCAACCTAAGAAACTTTTTTGTTTGTTTTTTATTTTTACCATGGTGGTGCAACAGGTTGCCCAGAGAGGTTGTGGAGTTTCTGTCCTTGGAGATATTAGAAACCCAACTGGTCACAGCCCTGAGCGAGCTGCTGTAGTTGATCTTACTTTGGGCACAGAACAGGGTTGGACTGCACAACCTCTGGAGGTCACTTCCAACCTCAGCTGTTCTGTGTTTCTGTTGTCCTGTGCAAAAGTAAACAAAGAGAAGAGTGAAGTGATTTCTTGGAGGTTCTGTTCTGTATTTCTTATCTGCTTCTTGGGTACAGGATGAGCAGAAGGGTTCAGGAAATGTGTAAGCCACAAATAGGAAACCTTAGCTTTTGTGGCTCAATATTTCACGTTTTCCTCTCTACAGGATAGGGATTTGGAGAGGCTCCGTCGGAAATGGCTGTGTGCCTTAACGAAGCGTCAGGAGTATCTTGATCAGCAATTGCAAAAGCTCGTTGGGAAGCCTGGTAAGCAAAATCCTATTAAAGGTAATGATAGGTTGAGAGAGACACGCACACGTACTTTTTATCTTAAGATGTTGTAAAATTTAGAAAATAAGTCAATGGAGAGTTGAATCTCTGAAATCACCAGTAATTTGCTTTCAGTGACACTGAAGTTAGAGAAGTTTATATAAAATTGTTCTTCTCTACTGTGTGTTTCTTTTTTGTGTGCTGAATTTCTGAGCAGAGTGGGTTTTCTTCTGTTATGTGTGGTGTAAGGTCATCATCAGATGATAACGACACTGGGTAAGAAATGCTCTCTATTGTCCTGACTGACATCCTGCTTCTCTAGATAAAACGGAAGATGACGCAGATCGGGAGGCACAGCTTTTAGAGATGAGGCTAACGCTCACTGAAGAAAGAAATGCTGTCATGGTTCCTTCTGCTGGCAGTGGGATCCCTGGAGCTCCAGCAGAGTGGTACGAACATACATTGCCTTATGCAAGAACGAATGTGAAAATGATGCATGGCCTCTTCCTGGCTTGGATTGTTGCCATTTTTTTGCTTTCCTTAATCTGGCCTCTGTACACTGTGTGAGCAAAGTTGTTAAAATTAGACCTCTTGCTTAAATTATTTTCCTAAGCTGTGTATCTGAAATCCAGAAATGCTATTTAGTAAACAATACTCTTATTGATCAGAGTGTAATTATGACCTTCTGAAAAACAGAATCAATATTTCTTACCACTTCACTTTACCATTTAAAAAAATTAGCTAATATGTTAATTACCTAGTTCATTCACTTAAAAGGCTGCTCTGCCATAATAAAACTGCATCTACAGGAGCATTTTGTTGCGCTCCTGGTTTGAGCACAAAGCCTGTTTAGTCAGCAAGTGTTCCGTGTGATTTTCTGAACATTAGAAATAGTAAACTACACTAGGCTGAGGCTGCTGTGCCGTAGCAGCTGTGAGTAACAACTGCAGGTAAGGCAGCAAGGTTGTTTCACTTCAGACCTCTTTTCTTCAGTTGCTTTCAACTTTCTGAAATTTTTTTCTGAGCAAACCTGTAGCAGTATTTATTGATGGAATTGGGTGTCATGGAGTTTTAAGGTGAAGTTTGTCAAAGCTAGTACTTCTGAAACAAAGATGGCAAATGCTTGTTGGAAACACGTCAACTTTCACATCAAAGCATTTGACTAGGTTTGAAAACAGTGGAGCTGTAGGAAACGTGCTTGAGGAGGAATCTGTTTTGAACACATTTGCGCTGGAGGAAGGGTTTACTATGTTTCAAGCACCTTATATATTGCATAAGACTCCAGCCTGCTCTTGTTCTCTGTAAGATTCATCAAGTCCAAGTTTGTCATGAGATGGCGACAGCCCTTTTTTACAGCTAAGGCTGCAACAAGTAGTCTTAAAAATCTTTCATGCTTCATTTTTAGTACCTGATTAATTTTGTGCAGCTTAAAAGTGCTAGGGCATGGAATATTTCGTTTTAGAAACAAACAGAACATCACCTGTGTTACCTCTTGTTCTTGATATGAAAGATGTCTTAAATGGCAGCTTTGACTCTGTGTTCTCTAAGAAAGAGAATAATAATCATGTAGTATAGTAGCATCAATATTAGTTTAAAAACTTCAACACTGTGTGTTCTGATTCTCACTCTGCTGTCTTCACTGCCACCCCTAATGCAGAGGCATTTGCGTTTAATAAATGTGTGTGTCAGAGTAAATAAACTTAATTTTGCTATTAGCATTTTAGAGGGAGGAAACATTTCTGAAAGTGGAGGTCAAAGAATATAATAATTCTAAGAGAGCTGGTATAAAAGAAATACTAATTTAGTTGAGGCTTTTGGAATCTGCAATAGTAAATTAAAATAAAGCTGTTTGCCAAGGTTATCAATGGTCTGGCTTAAAATTGCTGTTGTACTGAATGTAATGTACCGTGGGCTTGTATCGTAAGGGACGTGTGCTGGGTAAATCCACATCAGTTTAAATGCCGCCATTGTTGCTGTCTTACATTTTAGGACTCCCGTGCCTGGTATGGAAACTCACATTCCTGTTATTTTCCTTGACTTGAATGGTAAGTGGTTCTTAAAATGACCGAGTACTTTGAAGCAAACTTTGTACAGCCAATGATGTTATAGAATTTAAGCAAGCTAAGAAAATGAAGAAATGCCTGGAATGGCAGGTAGATTAACTGGAGAATGTACATTTTTCACTGAAACATATTGTTTAATGTTTCAAATGCACAGCATTATATATGGATGAAACCTCATCCCTGGAGGGGTTCAAGGCCAGGCTGGATGAGGCTTTGGGCAACCTGGGCTGGTGGGAGGTGTCCCTGCCCATGGCAGGGGGTGGAACTAGATGATCTTGAAGGTCGCTTCCAACCCAAACCTTCCTGTGATTCTATAGGTTTTAATAATCCCAATGTTTTGCAGATATTTAATAAGTAAAATAGAAATAGTAAAATAAGTACGCCTAAGGGAGTGAATAGCAAAAACCAGTGTAAAGAAAAGTTCTTTTGGGAATGTTCTTTCTGAGGTCTCACAAGGATATAGCACTGATGCTGTGATTTATTTACTGATGACCTAGAAGAAAATGTGAAGTCACTGGTGATAACATCTGCATATCAAAAAAACATGGCCGTGATACGCTCAAGCTAGTTTTACAGTGTGATCAAATGTGTTTCTTTGAATGTGTATGTTTCAGTACATCCAAATACAAGATCCAATGTGACCAGTGTATTTGTCAGGTGCTCCTACCAGAGATGGGAAATTGTAGCCAAGGAAGCGGCAACCCAAATGTAGTCCAGAGAGCCAACAGTGCCTAATCAATTAAACAAATCCTCATTAAGATGTTTAAATGAGGGTTAATGCTCGGATTGGAAGCACCAGGTGAGGGTGGGGAGGTGGCATTCTGCCTGTTGTGAGGAGGTCTTTGCTGCAGTGCTGTTTCCATTCCTGGTTTGTTCGCCTCGAAAAGCACATTGATGTATCAGACGGCTTCAGAGAGTGGCTAGTTAATAATTCATTCCTGGCGAGGGACTCGAGCCAGAACAGGTTGAGCTTCTTCTCAAAAACCACATTAAGGGTTTGTTTAATCATGATCTAAAAGGACTGTATTTTCACTTGTTCAACCAGCAACTTATCTTTATTTAAAAAACACCCCACAACACCTAACTGGTGCCAGATGAGTCCTGTGCTTAGCATGGTTGAGCAGCAGTGCTGATAACATCCCAGTGGGCGGGGAGGGGGTATTTACAGCTGGGGGAGATTCCCACACAACAGAGGACTTTCTATAGAGTCTGTGTCCCCAAATCTGTGTGTACACTTTCTGTATAGCAATGGGATTCTTTGTGAAGTGGAACAAAGCAGGGAGCTTTGCTTTTGTAGGCAGAGTGTAAATAGTCAAGGTGGGGAGTCAGTGATGAAACGTGAATTCATGACTTGCAGGTTGTTTTTGAAAAGGATAATTGCTTTGTGTCCCCTCACCTTCTGCGTTCACTTTTGTTTCTAGCCGATGACTTCAGTTCCCAAGATAACCTTGATGACCCAGAAGCAGGTGGGTGGGATGCTACGCTTGTCGCAGAAGAGGAGGAGGAATTCTTTGAACTGCAGATTGTGAAGCACCATGATAGCGAGGTGAGCAGAGATGCAGACCAGTGTATTTAGCTTAGGAGTCCTTTCACTGCTCTCTTCATGTATTCAGATGTGAAAGTCATATATCAAAGGCAGCATACAAAGGATACAACACCTCTTTATTGTATGATTGACTTTGTGTTTTAAAGGAATATTTGCTAGGAGTATAACCATGATTTGAAAAATAATAAAACTCAAGGATCTTCCTTTATCTAAATCCAAGCATTACAAAAGCTTGAGATTCTGAGTTTGTGTTTAGAGAAACAAAATCCCTGAGCAAATTAGAGCACAGAAGCCCCCAGCTGAAAAACCAAACAATCTTTACTGTTGTCTGCATCGTTACTTTCATTATATTCCATTTTGAAACATAACTCGTAGTTTTACAGGTTTACAATTGTTGGTTTATAGTTTTTGCTACTGGGTTTAGAATCTCCGATTTATTTTTTTACCTTAAAGTTTTGCCCCTTACTCTAAAAGATTTCTTTTCACATTTTTAATGGAGCTTTATTCCTGATGGTTTGGGTAGGTTTTTTTGTTCTGTTTTGTTTCTAAAGCCTGGAAAGATGGCTACCAGGCTGTTTTTCTTATGGCTTGAAACTAAACGATTTAAATCTTCAGTACTACCTACATTCAAGAGGAGAAATTCCAGCTTTCACTGTATTTCTAGAAACGTTACAGTTATTTCTCAAATACAGATGGGAGAGTATATGTGGTGTGATGCAAGATTTTCACTGCAATCTCTGTTGCTCTCTGGTTTATCTTAATAAATTAAGCCAAATGGTCCTCTAGTTCTGCATATTTTATAATTTATATGCAATGATCCTTTTTTTTTCAAGAGGAAATGTTCCAGAGTTTGAGCAAGTTGGCATTTTTAATCCCAACGTCTTCATTTGGCAAACTAATCTTGATTTTTAAATGGCCTCTTCTAAAGTGCAGAGATTTTTCTTCATAGGGAGTGAAATAGAGAAGCTGACTCTCAAAATTTATGTATTATGTATTTTTGTTAATTATGCTTAATTAATTACAGTTAATTATACACCTAATTATGCTTATTAGAGGATACATTTTTTTCCTTTGCAGGTGAAAGCAGAAGCCTCCTGGGATTCCACAGTCCACGACTGTATCCAGCTCAGTAAAGGAACAGCAGCAGATGAAAGAGTTTATCTTATTGTGAGAGCCACTGTCCAGCTCAGCCATCCTGCAGAAATGCAATTAGTGTTGCGCAAGCGCATTTGTGTTAACGTGTACGGCAGACAGGTATATCTTTTCTAATCCTTCACACTTTCACTCTGCTCCATGTTTATCACTGCTTGGAAAGGGGAAGGACGTGAGTTGTACAATATGCTGCTGCTACTACTGTTGTTTTCTTGTGTCTACCTTCATCTCTGCCTGAATGGAAGCACCGTATTGATGGTATGGATCGAGACTTTAAGCTGCCAAGTAATTTTCATAGTATCTTTTATATTGTGGATGATAATGCAACTTTTGTTTTAAAGGCACAATGCCATCTAAGTATGAGAAGTTTGGTATTATTTGTATAAACTACTGTTTTATCCCCAGTCACTGGAAGAAGTAGAAAGAGTTAACCTCTCATGAGCTTGGAGTTTCTGTTTTGCAGAAACTGTGCATCAGAAGGAATTTGTGTGTTCCCCTACTCCTATAGTATGTTCACCCGTTGCTGCTGACCATTTCTATTTGTGCATCCAGGTATTTAGAGATAATCTAGCAATTGTTGGAGCAGAGGTCCCATTGTGTAATTTGTCAAAATTAATAATTCTTGGGTTTTTTATGTTTTCCAATTGGTTTGTGCTCTTACGATAGTGTGTAGGTGAGAGCAGGATGTTTGCTAAATGGGAAGCAGAAGGTTGTCATTCCATTTGCAGCGTCATGTTCTGAAAAATAGTTAATTCTTGAGAAAGATGGTGAAGAAGAGTTTGTTCAGCATTGTCTCAGAATCCATCTTCCCCTAGCAGTGATAATGACGAAGCAGAAAGCCTGAATTGTTATTCTGTTTGCACATCTGTAGTTAAAATCTCAAGCAAGAGCAGAAGAGGTGTGATCACACCCAGAAACCCTGTAAGCAGCTCTAAACTGCTTTTAGTGCTAGGAATAGAAGAACTACAGTGCTTGGTCTTTCAATAAGGCAAAAGCTTTTTCTCAGAAAGGGAACAGTGAAGTTTTGTCATATAGAATGGAAGAGTATGTTCAATGGATAAATTGAGCATGTGAATAATTCCAATTGTGTTAAGTTTTCATCAATTCTGGTTTTTTGGATTTAGTCAGTGATGGTTTTTACTTTTATTCGACACGGAATCTTTGGCTTTCTTGCTAGGTTTCTGAAACTCCTCGTCAATAACCTTTCCCGGGTGTTCGTCTCAGCAGCATCTTTGAATGACTCATCTCTGCATTAATTCAACAGTCCAGTTCTTAACCCTGCAAGGCGCCAAGTCAGCATAAACAATGACCATGCCCCCTTAAATCATTCTTCATAACGATCTCTTTGGTCAAGAATTTAATGTCTGTACTTGTCAATATTCAAGACAAGTCACCTAGGGCTCTGTTAAAAAACCTCTGGACTAGCAAATGCTTTGTGTGCTGGTTAAGCGGTCACCTTGCAACGAAGGAAGTTAATCCTTTCTCTACATCTAAAATGCAGACAAGCAAATGATTTGTCTCCAACTTAAAATCTTTGACTCTTACATATTTATTGGCTAGTCTTTTGGGTTTGTACTGCTTTCATTTTAAACTGTATTTACTTCAGATGAAATACCTTAAACCATGTTTTCCTTAAAGCAAGTTTTATATATATATATATAATATATTTTTTTTTTCTTTTTTTGCCTCTCCACAGGGTTTTGCACAAAGTTTCCTCCGAAGAATGTCTCACCGAAGTTCCATTCCTGGCTGTGGTGTCACTTTTGAAATAGTCTCAAATATTCCAGAGGTGAATAAGAAATCAAAGTATCTGAAATTGGCTAAGAGCCTGTAACTTTCTGATTTTTCCCTTATTCTGAGCATGCTAGCTCTTGCTGCTGCAAGCATAAACTATGGTTCTTATAAAAGATGAAGCATATTCCTTCACCTGCTGTGACTTTGCAGCAACCTGTGTCTTATCAGTGTCACTATCTATTTTGTTGAGTGAGCATCTATTTGTTCAGATCCTTGAAAAAACATTTTAAAGAGAGAGAAAAAAGGGGAATTAAGGTGGGTAGGTGAAGTGCCTAATGTAGTCAGCATAAGAATATGTAAAAAATAACAAAGTGACTTTTTCCATGTAATGTCTTTGTGCAACTCTTGATTCCTGAGCGTGCTCATAGTTAGATGCTAATCCTTTCCTTCCAAACAGATGCTCTATCAGAGCACTAAAAACATTAACACATGGAGAGCCAGAAGTCTGATTGCTGCCTGACTCTCTTTTATGTTCTGCTGTATTTAACTCTGTGTTGAAATGTTTCTCAAGCAATGGTCTATTTTTTTTTTCTTGCGAGTCACTTGAAATTTTATATAGGTGATGCCCTGAATGTGTCTGAGCACTTTTTAATGGCAGAATATCTGAGTGCAGGCCCTTTGCTAATCAGTGGCAATGTCTTACCGTGAGACTCTAAAAAATAAAACAAAACAAAACAAATACAAAACCAAAAGGACAATAACCACATACAGGTTGAGGTGTCTGTGACAGTGGTAGGAGCACCCATACGGTTTGCGTGGCACAAGTTCCTTCAATGCAACAAGGCTTATATTTAGAAATCTCCACTGAGATGTCTGAATCTGCCTCTGAGCTTAAGGGCAAACAATTTTGGATCTGTCCTGCATGTTTTAAAAATGTGTTTTCTTCAGGACTGCTGTGGGAGATTTTTATTTTATTTTAAACGGGTTTAATTTCTTTTTGTTTTCCTAGGATGCTCAAGGAGCTGAAGAGCGGGAGGCACTAGCCAGAATGGCAGCAAATGTTGAAGACGCAGCCTCGGCTGACTCAGAAGCCTATATTGAGAAGTATTTACGGAGTGTGCTGGCCGTGGAGAACATTCTCACCTTGGATCGTCTGCGCCAGGTCTGTTTTTAAGGCTGTAGCAGAGGATATGCTTTCTGAGAGCAGTGTGTGTCCTCACAGGCGCGTGCAGTGGCTAACAAACCCAAAACACCACTTCAGCGCCTACCTCAGCCTTACAAAGTGTGCGTGTGGCAAACATCCAAAGCAGCAAATGTAGCTCTCCTCGCAGAGATGTTCTCACTCAACTCCCTGCAGTATGGATGGATGGGACTGGGAGCTTTATATTAAATGCACTGTTATGGGATGCGTGGTTTGTTTTTAAGACTGTGCATTCCTTATTATGGTTCAGAAAACGTAGTGGTGTGGCATTAGCTTTTACTTTCTGAAGCTCGGGCTTTAGTCATAGTTTCCGAAGCTGCTGGTAGAATTCTTGTCATTTTGCCCATGTTCTACCTTGAAGTAACCAAACCCATTCTGTCAATAAATAAGACATTGATCGGGCTAATCTGAAATACTGTGACTTGATCTGTTTACCAGGAAAAATACAGGAAAGAAAAACATTTATTGAAAATTGTTCTTCTGGATATAGATTGTGCAAACACAAAAGAAAATTATGCAAAACAAGCTAGAGTCTGTGTCTGCCCACTATAAATTAATGAAGTGTGATGCACTCTAAGTATTGAAAGCAGGTTCCCTGCCATATATAATTAGTTTAAAGGATTAAAATAGGAGCTCAGCTAGGAAAGGGGGAGTCTTAGTCTTCACATGTGTAACAGTCATCTCCTAAAATCAGAACTAGCTGTAAAATCCTACGTGTGCCAATCAGCAAAATGCTAGATGTTAAAGTCTGTCCCCTCTTACACTTCTAGCCATGTTACATGCAAGTTTTAGATTACAGAAAACTTTACAGACAGGAGCCTGTGCAATAAGGCTGTTTAGAAACATTTTTCTTGTATAAACAAAACTATCTTGGGATGATTGGAGCCTAGACTCTTGCAAAACATGCATATTTTCTTTGTTTCATTTCTCTATGATTGGCAGGAAGTTGCTGTAAAAGAGCAGCTAATGGGCAAAGGAAAACTCTACCGCAGGAGCCTGAGCTCTCCCAATGTGAATCGGGTGAGTATGCTGCTGGCATCTGCAGCACATCGAGAGCAGCAGGTCCCGTCTTTCAGATACAGGTCCCTGTGATGCCAGAGTCATGGAGTACAGCAATAAATTTCCTTCTGTTTGACCCTTCTGTTTGTCTGTGCTATTTGTGAGCGTGTAAATCGCTAAGTGGAGACAAAATCTGCACATATTCATGCTTTCATCATACAGGCTAGTATGCTTGCAAGCACCCCCATAAATCCAGACTATCTGAAAAAGCAACGTAAAAAGAACTGGTTTTTTTTTCTGAACACTGGAGTTTTTTTCAATTCGCTGTCAAGTTGAAGATTTCTTTTTTCTTTTTCTTGAGAAGATTTGAAAGCAAGTTACAAGTATTTACTGATCTTTGTAACAGTGCTGTGCATAAGAAGGGTAAGACTTCTGTTGTCCAAAATTTGGAAAGAAATCCCTTGATAGAACAGTAAAAGAACTTGTCAAATTCTGTCTCCTTCCAGGTCAATAATGGGAATTTCACCTTTCATCTCTTGGATTTCCGATCTTCTTTAACCACAAAACTATCTTTTTCACCCTTCCTTGTGTTTGTCAAGAGGCATATTTATCACTTGTTTAAGTTTTTATTAAGAAATAATTCTGTTTGTCTTAACTATTTCAGCTTTCTGCAAGCCGCCAAGATTTAGCACCCCCTTATAACCTCGTCAGTAACCGGGTAAGTATCTAAAGGTTTCCTGCGAAATCTTCTGTAGAAAAAAGGTAGCTACAGCGACTACTCTGTACCAGTTCCAGGAGCGTAAATGGGAAACATCTGTAAGAGGTGGAGCACACCCGTGTGCCCCTTGTATCCTTAGGGCTGTCCTAGGACATAAGGAGCTTTGGATGTGCCACACCAGACCTCTCTGGGAAGGCTCCCAGGCCTGCTGCCAGCTGCTCTGGGACGTTCAATGGCAGACCAGAGTTGAGCAGATGAGATGAAATGTAGCCATCCATCACACGAGCGTGCATTTATTAGGGGACATTTTCTCATTGTCAAGCTTCAGAGCTCTTTCACAGCTTTCACCTGGGTGGATGCAAACCTTCTGAGTAAGGGACAAATTTGGGTTCATGTGTAAGTTCAGGTCCACTTCTAGGACAGAATAGAGGCCGCTGAAGAGAGTCTCTGAGCTTCAGAGGGAAACCAGCAGTGTTAAGCTTGTGGGGGGGTGATAATTCAGCCCGTTACACTCCTTAAAAACGACATTATAGATCAAAAGTATTTATTTAAAAAGTGGAAAATTAAACTTATTTTCCAAATCCTAGACAAACTGAAGGGTCTTCTCCTGATAGATATTCTGCCCAGGGAGCATGTAGTCATTTTAAAAGGAAGAATCTAGTGGTGACAAGGCATTTTAATGCATAATGCAGTTGCACGGAATAATAGAATTTTGATGTAGTGCTCTAGCATTGGTTGCTAAATCTGCTATATCTGATCCATGTAGAGAATGCTAAAATATGTGCAGGTGATAAAGTACTTACAGCAACCTCTATTTGGAGAGAACTGTGGGATATTTCAATATTGTAGGTTTTTAAAGCAAAAATTAAAGACCAGAGTTCTCAATGATTTCTGTTTTTCTCCTCCCTTCCCCTCAATGATTTCTCTTATTGCATGTTCCAGAGTCCAAAGGTCCCAGCAGAGGTAATGCATTAGGTCCACCTAATGAGTGGGATAATAATTTTATCTCACTATAAAGTTTATTTTGCTCATTTTACATGCTTTTACTTCCTGCTTTGAAGATGCTGCTGGTGGTGTCTCATTTGCATAGCACACAGCAAGTGAGTTTTTCCATTGAAAAGCCTGTAATTAATGCAGTGTGAAACCGGTACAAATGAGAGAAGTTTCTCCTTCTTGGGTGCATCTTCAGGTTTGTTACAGAGCTAGAGCTATTTAATGCCATTGCTCACAGTTCTTTGGACAGGGTGAAGTTATTTCAGAAATGGCCCCATCTCAGCTGGAAAAAAAAAAAACCAAACCCTAGACATGAAAGCAAGTAAATATATGCCAGTCATGTGTGCTTTAGCCTGGAGATGAGATAAACGTTGAGAGTTTCTTCCAGATTTTTCTCAGCCTTCTTCATTTCTATGAAAGAATGGTTTTAAATTAATCCTGGGCCAATGGAAAACATGTTCATGCTTAGTATGATGTTAACACTCAGAGGAATGACTGTTTGTCCCCTTTGTGGTACCAAGCTTTGGTTAACTGGCAGTGGCTTGCATGGGGTTTTGCAGCTCTTTGTGGTTGATGTAGCGGCTGACAAACACGCTGTACTACTGTAACGTGGAGCGCAGATCGCGTAGCTTACCTCCTCGCTTGCAGCGTGCTTCCTTTCAAGGCACTTGTTACTCAGGACATGGCAGGTGTGAGCTCACCTCTTAGACATTTCTGGTTCCAGATGGATCTCTGGTCCAGTTTCCATCATGAACAGAAGCTTTTGTAATCACGATGAAATATTAAACAAATTCTTAAATGTTCCTACAGCACACAGACATCATAAAGCACACTGGGATGTCAGTTCTGTTTTAGCAGAAGTGGTCTGAGAATGGCTTGATATGTGCAGTTGCAGCTAAGTTAGATGTCTTTTGTCACTTGCAGAGAAATTTAGTGAAATTTAGCTTCTCCAGCAGTCATAAATTGTTATGTTACCAGGAATTTGGTTTTGTTTACAAGGGACTATGATAAGCTATTGCTAAAGAATTAATTTCTTGTATCATAAGAAACCTGGGTCACAGGATAGTAGCGGCATCCTGAATTGGGTGCAGAACTAACCTGTCAAGCCTGCATACTTTAAAATTAGTGGAAGCTCTCAACACATTTCAGAGTATTCCCCCTCTTAACTTTTATTCCTTTACTTCATTTTTCTCTCTAATTTTAACATTATTAATCCTTGCTTTCCTGCTGTCCTTTCTATGCATTTTTAGCTTTGTGTGAAGGGCTCTTGAGTCTCATTCCTGTAGGTAAAACACCATTCCTACTGGTGATGTTATAATGTGGACTTTGCTTCATTCTTCAGCACTATGAATAGCCAGGGCTCATTCCCCTGTAAACAGGAATACTAGATAAGTTAGAATAAGAAGTAAAGATGGTGTTGGTGCAACTGAAACAGGCAGATGAGAAGTTTCCAGAATTAGGACACGGATTCATCTTGCAGCCATAGTTAAATCTTTGTTACTGCAAACGTGGATGGGTGTCACACCCCCATGAAGAGCTAGAGGACCCTTCTCCAGGACTGAAGCAGAGAGTTTGGCCCATTTTGAATTGAAAAAAACATTCAAGAATGCCTCCGAGTACTGACACCACGGAGAGCTTCCAAAGAGCAGGATGACCCTCTCACTCAGATATGCATTCATGTGAAATATTTAACTCACCGTTGGGATTTTTTTAATAATAACTCAAGCTACCTAACTGGCAGAGAAGGCACGGAGATGCCTTCTAAATTTACTTCAAAATACAGTCTTATGAATGTTTCGTATTAGGTTAACAGGACTGCATTTGGTCTTACCTCGAAGTTTTATCTGATTGCTTAAATTTAAAAAAAAACCCAATTTTTATCACTGCAGATATGGTTACGGGAGAATGAGATGAATATTATTTCGTCTTGCACATCAGCATGTCAGGTGATGTGGGAGTATAGAGCCTGTTAGTGGTGATATAAGATACAAAACTAGATTTTTACGTTCCAGGGTGGTTGCACTGGAAGTTTAAAAATTCAGTTGACTTAAACTGGATGAATCAGGTGCACAAAGAACGGAAGGCAGCCCTGACTTGTTTTATAGGTCTTCTTCAGACTAATCACATGCTGATGAAAAATTTCATGAGTTGTTCTTAAAATACCTTTGCACACTGGCCATTCTGTCTTTGACAGTCATCCTCCCTTTCCCAGAGGTCCTGTAGGTTGTAGCTCAAAAGCCTTGTATCCAAAAGCCAAGTAAGACAGGGTTGTACCACTTAACCTTCAGGTTTTACTGGGAACCAGTTTTTTCACCAAATTGGTACCATGTAGATCAATTTGGATAATCTCACTGTCCATGAGAACAAGTGCCTTTTGTCCCAGCTGTATGCTTATATTTAAATGCTCCATGGCCACCTTTTCCTAAGCCTTTTCTGAACTGCGAAAATAATAAACCACAAGAACTCTTCATTTCTCTTACCCAGTGGCAGCATTTTAATGGTCTGTCAACTTCAAGAAAAGAATTGTTGTCAGGTAAAGCCTACAGATGACTTAGGTAGTGATCACCCATATTTGCTCTAAAGATTTTGTGCATGTCGGTGCTGACCAGAAATAAACTCCCAGGTGTTTTTCATGGAGGATGTGTGAAAGAAGGGAAGGCAGAGGAGAAGGTGTTATAGAAATAAAACAGCGTTATAAACAGCTCTGTATCAAAATACGTCAAGGGACATTCATTCTTCCAGTGGCTACTCTTGATCTGTTAAATTAAGTCACTTGACCTCTGTTTGGTCACTTGGCAGAGACCAAATATATTCCTGAAATGATGGCTCCTCTGGGCTAATGATTTACAAGCTTCCTTCCCTTTTCTCACCACCCTTCTGATAGAGGAAAGATTCACAGCACTTAAATAATACCGATTGCTTAGACTTAAAGTTTAAGTGTTTCAGTTAGTGAATGCACAAAGCAATCATGTGAGAGTGCTATATAACATGCATATGTGAAACTTGGGAACTTCATCAAGCTAATATAGTTAATAATTCTTATATATTTTCTTCTTGTGAGATTGAGATGGGTTATCTTTCAATCCAGTTTAGTAAAATCAGTCATTCATGAACTACCTCCTACCTCTGCAGATTCTTCGCACAGCAGTTGACCCTTTCAGTTATCTCCAGTATTTTCTTTTGTAAATATTTCTCCACATGTTACCCTGATTTACCTGCTTTTTAATGGTTTGCTGTCATCTTAGAGTGGAGGCTCATGTTACCCCTAACAAATCTGACCTTCGGTCTAAAATGATGATCTTTCTGCTCTGTCCAAAGCAAGTCTTATTTAAAAACCCAACAAGCCTTAAGTATATGGCCAGACAAATCTTTTTCTCAAGACCACATTCCTGTTCTCAGGACCTTCATTTGATTTAGCCTGGCAAAACATTTAAAATTATGTAGAAAATGTAGTCATCCATAATATCCAGACTGAAGCAAAATTTCCCAAAGATCCTAAGAAGAAAGGCTTTTCCTAAGGAAAAAGTCACTAAACATTGCCATTCTTCCCATACAGGATGAATATTCCAAAAACATTTTTCTTTGTTTCTTACCTACTCCAGTTTTTTCGTCATTCTCCAAACAGGTCTAGGAAGTCAAGATACTTGCCTGGAATTATTTTTGTTGGAACAGCCAATGAAGGGCGCTTCTGACTCAACAGATCATGATTCAGAAAATGATTCAGTTGCTCCTTACCTACATGGAGTCAGTGTTCTAGTAAGCTAGAAAACTTTCCCATCATAGTCTTTCTGTTTCTTATCTCTTTGTGGTCTCCAGAAGTGCTTAGACTTGGCGTATAGACAGAAAATTATTAAGACATGTCACCTTTGTCCATTTGTCTTTAGTGAGTGGAAGATTGTCCTAAGATCTGAAAGTAACACTAAGGAAGCTTTGTTGTGTCCTCCAAAAAAGCCTTCAGATGCTCTGCACTCTTCCATAGTTCATTTTTCTTAACGCAATGCCAACATCTACAGGGCTGATGGCAGACCAGACGAGAAGGCAACAAAACTGAACAGTATTTCAAGATGGTTTGAGTCTTGTGATGACTTTCCACCAAACAGTCTTCTATTTTTTTAACTCCTTCAACACCACTGAGCTGGTGCATCCAAAAAATACTGAATTACAGATATTTCCCCCATCTGGATAGAGTATGAACTAACCCATCAGCAGGAGCCAGAGAAGGACACTTCAGGAAACATTTCACATCCCAAAGACAGTTTGAGCATAGTTTGAAGACATTGGCTGTTTCCATACAGGCTTTCAATGTCTGGTGCAGCACATGACATGACCGAAATGGCAGGATACGAAAGCAGTCTCTGAAGCAGTGTTTTGAATGGATATGTGGGGCAAGACTGCATGCAGTAAGGCCATCTGAAAGAAAACTGCACGAGTTGAAACCCAAGACAGCCAAAGCCTGAACAAGAGTTTCTGGGGAGTGGAACAGGAAAGACTGTTCCATAGAAGCACTTTGTGGAAAGAATTTTCCGGACATAGGCACAACTTTTTGATGTAAGACATAAGTGAGTTGCAGGTCACGGCTAATGCTTAAGTTGGGGACTTAAGGTATGGGTAGAAAAGCTCTATCGTTTGTGCTGATAAAGCAGGAAGCTTTCAAGAGGGGCTTAAACTCAAAAATACAAGACTAAACAAACCCCTGGTATTGCTGCTAGTCCCAGCCTGGGTTATATCAGTTTTGACATTCAGGTTGGCAGCCTCCAGTGAACTCAGACATCCATTAGTCTGCAGGTATCCCAAATGTTACTCCACAGAAGCAGCGCCTGTTGTCTCTGTATCTGATAATACGGCTCTTAGCTAGTCGAGGTCTGAAGATGAGTGCTGCTCTGCAAAACTGCAAGTTACTTGCTATTCAAAGCAGGAGAGCTATGGGACTAACTTATAGATCCAAATGGAAACGATTTTTGCTCTGGGCTGCTCAGTGTGACCTTCAAACCATTGGAGAAATCTATTCCTCCTGTCCTGGCTTATTTGTTATTTGCGAAACATTCATGACTTCAAGTTACAGTTAAGATTAGTTTAGCTGCCTGTCATTTTGCTGTTCAAGGTCAGATTATTTCCGTGCATCCAACAGCATCAAGCTTCTTGAAAAGGTGCATTTCCCCCCTTTTCTTTCAGGAAAAATACATGAAACTAGTGGTCTGGGATGTAGCAGGTCTGTCCATCCCTTGTGACTCCTTTCTGGTGCATTCACTGTACCATCTCCTTGTGAAAGTATTTCTGTATGCCTTTTAAAAGAACAAGCAAGATACAGATACAGTATAATCCAGACAAGTACAGACGTTGTACAACCTTAGCATAACTCTTCACCAGAAGTGGGATCAGACTTCAGTTTGTATCACTTTGGCTGCATCATCCTGTCTCTGCAACCTGCTGCTGGAAAAGTGGAAATTTGCAAGTTTGTAGTCCTGAGGGCACTCTGCTGCCTGAACGCGACAAAACAAGACATTGAGACTTCTTGTAGCATTGAGACCAGGTTCTTTTGATGCATGGTTTCTTAAATGGATATTGAATTGCCTTAAGGTCTCCTATAAATTAAGTAAATTAGCACCATATAGCTTTATTAGGGCCTTCTCTTTAGCAGTGCAAAGGAACCGCTTTGACAGGCATTGTGTGTGTGCTTGTATCAGAAGTTTTCAGGACAACCACGGGGATTCCAGGACAACCACATGGATCCCAGTGCCTGCCTTTCAGCTCTGCGCACCTAACGTGGTGCTCAGTTTGGTGAAGCAATGCGATGTCTTGTATCCACATGAAACTTTCATCAGAGACACCCTCTGGGCAGTGACTTAGTAAAATGATTGCAGGCAAATCTATCAACGATTTTACATATGCAGATGATAGAGTTAGGGAAAAAGTATTCAGCCACCTAGATTCTTGACACTGGTGCACTGGTATGAAGTGTTAGCTTGGAGCTTCTCTGTCAGCCGAGAGACTTTGTCGTTGAGCCAGCTTCTGAACTGTAAGGTTGGGATGAAAGATGCAAAACCGCAGAGGAACTTTGTAAAAACAAGAAGAATCACACCCCACGTGCAGAATGCGGTGTACCTCCCTTTGGATCCGTGTGGTCCAAACCCATCTAGAAAATCCTGGGACCTTGGGAAGGCAGACGGCATGCCACCTTCTCCGTTGCTCTTTCTTCCTACCTCATCTACACGCAGGCACCTGCAGTTCTGAAAATCATCTTCACTAACCTTGTCAAAACTCTAACCTGTCTTTGCTTGATCTTTTTCATGGCTCCCGCTATCCGCAGCTTGTTGTCATATATTCCATCTCTCTCTTTTCCAGGCTGTTAGAACAATTGCATTACCACACTTGCTTTCTCTTGATCTCATCAACTCATCCATTATCTGACCCCAGGTACTAACATCCAGCCTTTAGGTCTAAGCTCATATTTCTTTTCTCTATTCAGAGCTCTGTCTGTCCTCACCCCTTCTTTCTGACACTCTTCATCCAGACTCCACTCATGACTGCTTCTGGAGTAGATAATACAAAATATTTAGGAATTTGGGGCAGACAGTACTGTTTTATTTTCACCTGCTTGTAATGTACTCAACTGAAAAACACAGAGCTGCACAATTAAATGAAATAGTATAGCCTTAAGGTCTATATGTAGTCTTCTTCTGTGCCTTGATGCTGATGGGAGCTGAGGGTGCTCATCTTTGCAGGACTGGGTATTTCAGCTGGAAGTGCCTCCGGGGAAGGGTCTTTCCTCAGCTCGGTGCATTCTGAACTTTGCAGAGGGTCTGTGCAGGCTGGCATGGTGTGTAAGTGTTGCTGTACTCTTGCTGATGTGCTAACTTGAAAAATACAACTTTTTTTTTTCCCCTAGGGCCGGTGGGAGAGTCAGCAAGATGTATCCCAAGGTGCCACAAATTCCAGTAGAGGGATTAGTCCATCTCGTACCTCTCTGCCGGGCTCTGGGCAGCAAAACCACTCTCCTGATCCGGGTAAGGGCTTTCCTAAAGCTAAGACAACTTTTCTAAAATTGGAGTGACGTTACTGCAGTTTCTGAATGTCGGATAAAGCTGAGCTGCTTTCAGAAATGCAGAGAAATTTCTTCTCCAGGGCAATGTCCATGCAGTTCCCTTGCTGTGAACATTTAGCGGTTGTGGCTAAGCTGCTCAGACTCTAGGCAACTGCAACTAGCCTTGCCTTTACATCTGATACTAGTTCTACTAAGAGGTGAATTCCACATGGTAAAGTTGTCTGAAGATGCAGTCTTGTTTCAGTTCAGTTTCTAAGGCCAAAAGTTAGCTGAACTCAGAACGTGCTGTCTGTTACCTGAGTAAAACAGCAAAGACAGTAAGGCTACTGACGTTTTAGAAGGTAAGCAGCACTGGAATTGGGTGGATATTCTGCACCTGATGTGCCTCATGTGTAGCTGAGACCACAGAGATATAGCAGGGATGTTTTGTACGTTTACCTAGGTTTTCTCAAGGGGGAGTAGTGTAGAAAAAAGGAGACTTGAATGCCCTTAACATATTTTTCTTTTTCTTAACTTGGATCGTCTCATCTCTTACTTCTAGTAAGTTTTGTAATTGTCATTAAAACTGTGTGGTCTATGGACTACCTTTTTTTGAATTTGCTCTTTTGCTTCTTGGTTTTTTGTTTTTTTGATTTTTGGGTTTTTTTTTCCTGCTTCTGCAAGTTATAAAGCATTTTATGTTTCCAACTGCAAACAGCAGGCTTTTTCACACTATATGATTGAAAATAAATTTTCTGTATACTGGGGTCACAGATTAAGGGCTACCCAAATTCATGTGTCCCTTTCAAGGGAGGAGCAAGCTCTCAATACTTGGCTAATGCTTTGACCACTGGAAGATGTCACCTTAGACTAAAGTGAAAACAGTTTTGTAATTATTTTTTAGGGGGCTTTGAGTTGGTTTTGGGTTTTTTTTTTTTTTAACTGTTCTCATTTTTTTAATTTTTCCAACAGGTATTGGTAGCCTTGCTGCTTCTTACCTGAATCCTGTAAAGTCCTTTGTGCCTCAGATGCCGAAGCTGCTGAAGTCTCTCTTTCCTGTTAGAGATGAGAAAAAGGGCAGGCAGACTTCTCCCCTTGCACAGCAGGTAAAAAATTAAATCAAATAGGCGATGGAGTAATATTGGTGAGTGCTGCTGGGCTTGCTGGCAAAGTGCTGTTTTGTATGTTGTTGCAGTTCAAACCAAGCTTTTAGTCGTAGAAAAGCCTTGTGATGCATTTCCCCTCCGTTCTGTCCAGAGATAGTGGAGCTGTTTAAACTTATTGATACACTCAGCCCACTTGGCTTTTTAGAAGTGCCAAGTACACTACCAGCGTGATTTATGGTAATACCACTTGCAGCAACAATAGTAAAATTTATGAAGTGCACTTAGTGTCGTTTGTGTATTGCCAAGTGGAAAATGTAATTCTATTTTTAATTTGTTATTTCATATACCATTCCCTCCCACTGCTCGCCCCAGCTCATGTCACCTTTTACCATCTTCTGGTATGTACTTTGGGACAGTTGCTTTTGTTCATTCTCTTATCTATTCCACATGTCAGAGAAGCATTTGATTTTTTTTTTTTTTTTTTGGATGATGTGCTGCAAAACTCCACCTGCTCCAGATGTGGCTTTTGTGCTCTGAGCGGTACCTAGTGCATGGTCAAGCAGACTAGAAAAAGCCACTGTCTTTTAAAGAAAACAGATTAAATACAGAATCCCATTAGAAAGAATATTATCTCCTTTATTTGAGAGGCTGTAGTTTATTTATAAAAAGGACTAGTCCTCTATAGTGTAAGTCTGGAAGATTTAATAAACTGTTACGAGGATATATCTGGGGCCAGATCTCACTTGTTAAAGGTTTTGGAAGTCCATTCTGTGCGTGCTTTGTTAACCACCCAGCTAACTCTGCTGTCGTTCACTTGTCTGGAGATCTGGAAGCATATTACCTGTTAACTTAGACTCTTGACATGCAGACAAATGTTTTAAAGGATAACTTTCTCAAGACAAAGCAAAACAAACTGTAAAATCTCCAAGCAACTATTATTTTGTGGCTGGATGCAGACATTCTGTTCCATTGTTTGCTACAATTTGCTGTTACAAGGATGTCCCAGCCCTGCAGAAAGTTGTTTAGTCATTGTAGGAGTACAGTGAAAGATTAAATACATAGAGCAAAAAGAAATACACTAACACTTAAATATTTTTTAAAAGTAATTTATGATGGACATAGCACAAATGAAAATAAGGCAGATTTAAAATATTTTTAGTTTGACTGTGGTTTTATTCTCTACAAAGTAATAAAAGCAAGTTTTACTCCCATATCTTATCTAATTTAATGCTTTACATTTTCATGTTGCCTTTTGCTCACGACAGCCTTGGTGTTGAGACTGGAATCGTATAAACTTACTCATCTATGAAATTTAGAAATTAAGACAGCGGCTTTCTTTAAAGGTATTTGATATATAAAAGATGCAAATGGGTGCTCTTTACAATTGCAGTGAGAACCTTTCACAACTTCTTGAGTTCATACTGAATCAGCGAGAGCTGAGATTAGAAGGGAGGCCCAATTTCCTGCCTCTAGTCTAACCACCTGCTCCCACTCCTTCCTACTGTTCACAGTCGGTCTTGCATTATTTGTCTTGAAGTCAGTTTTTAAGCTGCAAAGACATCTATTTTTAAGAGATTTTAGTTTATATTATGGGTTACGATGGAAACTCAATTAATTAGATCATGATCACCACAATTTTTAAAAGGAGAGAATGCTACTTTTGCTTTGTTTTAAAAAAATAAAAGCTAATACATAATCAGGAGCATGTGATGGTTTAATGCTTGGTTGCACTGGAGAGCAACCTAAGTTTTCCATGAACGCTGGATCTTTGTAATAAAATAAAATCTTAAAATTATTTGCTGCTTTTAGTTTTGTAATAGAACAAGCCAGTTGTATTACAACTACACCTCACTGGTTTGAGAAGTTTAGAGTTATTCTTTGCGGCTCTATCAGTAAGGAACCAGGGCTGCTTCGCTCCTTTCAGCAATCACAATGCACAGAGAGAGCAAAGATGGAAGGAACTGCTTCAGAATTAGCTACAGCTTGTTCTGTGCAGCACAGGAAGTAAAGATGTGCTGCTGTAGCAAGACTGGCTTTGAGATCATAAATATCACGGCTCGTAATCTTTCTTGCTGTTTCTGTATAACGGCCCGATGATGCAAACGTGGCCAGAAGAATGTAGATGGTGGGGGTGATGGATGGCTGTTGTACTGGGTGGGCGATGGGGCTGCTGTGGGGGTCAGTGTTGGGCAATCAGCGTTAACGCCTTATCGCTAACCTGCCGGAGCTAGACAGCGAGCTGGTGATTCTTGTGTAACTCTAGTAAATGACGCAATAGAGAGGACACAAAAAGTGATATTTCTGAGTCTCAGAAAGTACAGAACAATGCATCTTACTTCTGTGGAAGAATAAAACTTGGATACACAGTGGCAGGGGACATAAATGCATGTGCAGGGTGAGAGTAGATGGTAAAGTACAAAAAGTATAAAGGAGAGGCGAAACTAAAAGGATATTTCTGCTGTAATTGCAAAGGAATCTGACCCCTAACTGGGAATTGATGGCCCTCTGTTACTGTAAACAACAAATTGGGAGAGCCAGGTTCAGGAACAGGAATGACTAAAGGAATGCTTTACAAACAAATGGGAAAATCTAAATCATCCTTTCCTGGCTAAAAGCAAATGAGCGGATATGTAATAACAGGTCTTTGAACATAAATACCAAAAAGCTAACTGGATCAGTTTATTACTTTCTCCTGGTTCATCCGAACAATTTCAGTGAAAGAGGATTTCCAACTTTCTTGTCAAGTTTGGTGCATATATATGTTAATTTATTTGAGAGTCCTTAATTATCTAATGTCATTAAAACCCGTTCTGGAAAAATGCTGGTGAACCATCTTGAACTAGATGGCTGGCCACCTCTTGTATTACATCTCCAATATGTTATAGTTAAATTATCAGGGTTAGGTGGCCATACGTTGCTGCAGAAAGCATCCGATTTGTTTTCTTGTGCCTTGGAAGCCGGTTCTTAAGGCGAAGTTGATTTTAGTGCTTTGGAGCATCGTTTCCAAGGGAGCAGCACGTAACCTTTTTCCAAGTTTATAACTGCAGCGAAGTTCATCATGACCAAGCAGCTCTCCAAGTGGGTGTTACCGAATCTCTGATTCTCTGTGAGTAAACACAAGATGCAGTTCTGATCGCTCCTTCTGCAAATACCATTTTTTATTTTAGTGGCTTTTTATTTCAGTCATACACCGTTGCTTAGGCTGGCATCAGCCTTAAAGTAAGCGAGCACATACAGAAGTTATCTTCACGAAGCCGGCTTTCCCAGTGCCGTTTTGGTTTATACTCAGTGGTTGCCTGAGTTTCAAAAATGCGGAGACATTCCAGTCAGGGTGGTGGCAGCTAACAGAATTGCTGTCTTTGACCTTCTGATGCAAGTTTAGTAACTAATCTGAAGAATAATGAACCGCAATTAGTGAAATCTGCTCTCGTATTCAAGTGTGTTTCTCAGACAGCACATAAAATAATTGAAAGAACTTCCTGCTCTCTAATTAGTTAGATTGAATTAATTTGGCATAATAGGATTCTTTATGTAACTAGCAGAACGGCTTCCGATGAAGCTGTTTATGTACCTAAAAGGTTGGTTTCTGATGAAGCTGTTTATATACTTTTGAGTTAGAAAATGCCTATTTTCTCCATTATCCCATGCCTTTAAATTAATTGCCAGTAGTCTGTAAAGAAAAAAAGCCAAGAACTTAAACCTTTTTGGATTGCTGGAGTTGCTTTTTATTTTCCTAGTCTACTCTTTGAAAACCTTAGTACCGCAGTGTGCCAGATTTAAAGCCTTACCAGCCCTTATTGCTGATGGGGAAAAGTTTCAAATGCTTATTTAAAATATGCGGGTGGATGGAGAATCAGTTTCATCTATTTGTGCTTAGTTATATTACGTGCATGTTCTTGAAGCCTGTCTTTTTTTATTAACATGCGGAGGCTTTCATAGTGTGCACTGAGCAGAGTTACTGTTCTTTACCTTCTGACCCTGTTGATCTCCAGGAACTGCCCCTGTAATTACATTTTAGGGCATCATTGGGTGCTGACATTAAAAATGTACATATTAAATTTCAGTTTCTGTTTTTTGACATTGCTATGGCAGAAGCAAATTCCTCTGACCAGTGTGCATTTGGTAAGTGGATTTTGGTCACCTTCATACTCGAGAACCTTGTTGGGTGCTCACGTGTCTCAGCCCATGGCTTAAATGAGAGATCTTGAGTCATAGCTATCTTAAAAAAAAAAATTAACTCTTTGAATTTCCATGTGCTAACGTAATTAATTTTTTTTTGTGGTGTAGAAATGCAGATGTGACACATCGAGAGGGCAGCTCTCAATTTTTTCTCTTTCACCTTCTGATGCAGACATAGTAATTAATCTTAAAAAAGAATGAAACGCAGTTAATGAAAAGCTATCTAAACAGACAAAACCCTTTTTTTTTCTGGCAGTGCATTAAAAAATAACAGTTTCATGGATGTGCACAGTGCAGAGTGTAATTGCTAGAACTGACATTCCTTAATCAAATGTAAATAATGTGGCCTCGGAGAACCTTCTTTAAAATCTCAAAGGCTTTTTTCAGAGTTTCAAATAAAAAAAAAAAATCATTTGGATGCTATAATCAGCATAGCTCAACAGATCCTCTGCGGCCAGCTGAGCTCGTGTGTCTAGTTCTTGTGACTGAGTTGTTAGTGTTCTGATTTCTTTCTGAGTCCAGTTTTCCCTATCATCCTCATACAAATAGTTTTTAATGAGAATGATTATGGAAAACTGGCTTTTAAAGTTCTTACAGAAAACCACTGAAACTTCTTTATGAACTAAGTTGAAAATCATTATGAATTACCCTTTTAATCTGCCCAGACCTAGGAACGAAGTAATTTAACAGCACAGAAAATAGTATGGTTAATTTTGCATAAAGTATATTAGAAATGTAGAATTTGAAGTATTATTACAGGATAAAATGTTCCACATCTGGAAGGTGGAATAAGAGGGGTTTGTTTGGGTGAATATGTAAATGCACAGTGTCTTTAGAGAAGAAAAACACCAAAAACCCCATGAACTTGTACTGGGTTTCAGATCTCCTTTTGGAAGATCTCCTTTTGGAAGGCAGGAGATTTTATATTTAAATGATTAATGACTTTTAAATTATTTTAAAATTGAGGGCAGAGAGGCATATTGTTGGTGGGGAACGTTTAAAATGGATTTATCTTTTTTGGCTATGTACTAGGGGATTCAGAATTCTTACTGAATGCTGTGTATGTCTTGTGAAAGTATTTTACCCCTGGTGCTCTAAACTGATTCAAACCTACATTTAATGAAGCCACTGTTATGCCCTGCTGCAGAAGTTTCCAATAGCTGCTTTTAAATGCTGATGTGAACATAATACTGTCAGTGTGACAGTCCTTGAGCTCAGTCACTCCTATCTGCGGACGGTAAAGCACAGACAAGAGCGGTGGAAGTTTTCTGATAATGCCTTTTAGGATTGCACCAGCCCTAACCTTGGCTAGACCGTATCTGCAGGGTGATTCTTGTATGTGCTGGCCATTCTGTTAACTGGCACTGAACTTTCTGCATATTGGGTGTTAACGCTGAAGGATTTTCATCCAGAGACGCGAAGTCAAAAGGCTTCGTACCAAAGTCATCAGTCACCCTTGTCAGAAGCATTTTACAAACTGTTTAATGACATTGAAATACCAAATGTTTTTGGGATTAATTCTGGGGCGACATACGCATTTGGTTTTCCTGCTCAAGCTCACCAATGTACCAGGCTGGTCTCCAGATTGCTCCCATCACTAGTAACAACATGGCTTTTGGTTACCTCCAAGTCTGTGCAAACCAACCTCCCATCTGACCAGGAAATAGGCTCTCGGAGAAGTCCTTATAAACTCGCTGCACAGAGTAGCAGCTCTTAAGAAAAAGACAATTTTTGTTCGACAAAGATTTAAAGATGCTTTAAAGTGAATTGCTTTCATGTTTTCTCTTTTCCGTATTTTGTCAACTAAATTGTGCCAAAAATTATCCCTGTAAAAGGGTCGTGTTTTACCAGCGGGTAAATATCTATGTCTAGTTTCGCAGTCGCTATCTGCAAATGTTTGATGACAGAATTTGGCTCTCGATTCAGAAATATTTTTCATCCAGTAAATGTCTTCACAGATAGTCAAACACATTGTTTTCAGTGTCCCTCCAAGTAACTTCACTGCATTTCCTAACAAAGATCTGTTTTCGTACCCTTGCTACCCCCGTGGGGGTGTTTCTGCCCGTCTGTTTCTTGTCAACACCAAAGTTGGGCAAGTGCCACTTCTCAGAAGTGCTTTTTTTCTCTGTGTTTTTCTAAACATCACTTGGCAAAGTTATTGTAGTTTCGAGATTTGTCATCCTTTCAGGAGAACTTGATGAGGCATGATTAAAGTGTAACGGTTTTATTTCTTTTGCTATTTGATATCAACTGGGTTTTTAGATTTCATGGATTTACAGGCTGCAAGACTGAAGGTTTTTGAGAGATAAAAAACCCCAAGTAAACACTTTCCTCTGTTTATTTGTTTTCAAGGGACAAAAAGGAAATCAAAGCAACTGAGAAATATCTTTAAATACTTTTTCTTATTCCAATTCTGAGTGCTTATCTCTGGATAATAATGCCAGACGTCGGAGCACTTCCCAGAGATGGCACGGATACTGGGAGAAAAGGGGACAAGAAGATGAGGTCGTGTTATGGTGCCAGTGTGAGAGCCTGGAGCTGGCTTTAGCTCCCGAGACAGGGTCTGCTGAAAAGCCTGTTTCCCTGGTATATCAGATCACAGACAGTAGTGTGGAAGCAACAAGGAGAGTGTTTTTCCTTTGCACAGCTTTTTGGAGATGCCAGAATGCAGTGCTTTTAGCACTGGACCATGGAGATATTTAACCAGGATAATTTTAATTCAGGAGTCTTGGCTTCTCACTGATGTTCAGCTGCACCTCTGCAAAAGGTTTAAAGTGCTATGTAAGTGCCTGCCTAGGGATTAGCCCTAATGCCTTGTGACTGCAGATATTTTGTCATTAAAAGGTGATATTTAATAACTTGGCTTTGCACTGCCAAGATGGACCAACCCAAGGTTCAAAGATGGTTAAAGAGAAGAGAGTAAGTGTTCTGCCAAATACTCTGCTCCCTTTAACACCGTGATAAGCCTCTATTAAACCTTCAATTTGCAGGGTTTTCTCGTAAGAAAGTTTAATCCCTCTCCTCTCCAGTCCTTGTTAAAGTGAAACACTTGGCTGTTACGACAATCAAGTTACCCTTGCGTGTCTGAGTTAATACTTTGGACGAGTTGGAGTACCTGCGCACCTCATTGCTCTAAGCTGTCTCTGGATCGCTCACAAGTCAGTACTACAGTTGCTTTCAGGTTAATGCTTCTGTCTAGAAGTTTGCCACTTTATTCCAAAGGAAGCTGAAGTTCTGGGGTACAAGGTGTCTGAACCACTGGGTCATGAACCCTAAAGTTGTGCTTATTTTTTTAGATTCATTGATTTGTTCTAATTTGGGTCACCCTCTTCTTGGAGTGCATGTCATAGTAAGGAATCAAAATGCTAATACATTATGCACCCAAAACAGAGCCAGTTTGCTCTGAACTTCAGTGGTGTACTTCCAATGAGCAGGTTTCAAGACAAGCAAACCGCCTCTCTTCTCCTTTTCTTTATTGACCTGGAGCATCAATGTATTTACAAAAACTTATTTTGATCCACTGTGAAGCTGTTGGGGTTTTTATGCATCTTTTATCTTTTTATTTTTTACCTTGAACAACTGTGTTTTTATTTCATATCTGGCAATCTCTGTATAAATAATAGCTGTTTTTCTCCCCCATGTTTGTTTATTTTTTGGACACGATTAGTCGTGCATCTGCTTTACTGTGCTTAGAAAGGATGCAAGAGAAGAGTACCTTACTCTTCAGCTGGAGAGTTTCAGTTCTTTAAACAGATTGTCGAGGTCTGGAAATAGCTCTCTCAGAGATGAGCACTGCTTGTGTATTTCTACAGAACAAGTTCTCAGGTCCTTTGGAGAAAAAAATAAAAAAAGCCGACTGCTCCCAAATTCTATAATATGTCATCCTTAAAGAGCTCTATCCCTGAAAGTATGAAATTGCATTTGCGGTGTGTTATTTACCGGTGCTAGAGAGAGGTGTTTCTGCCTTTTTCCGCTCTCTCCTTTTCTTCATCCTTCCATTTCCCAAGGTTCTCCGTGGAACTGGTAGTCCCTTTCCCTCCTGTGTCAACAGTGCCTGGCAGCCCAAGGTGACAGCTTAGCCTACGATTTATAGCCAAGGGTCACATTTTGCTGTTATAGCCTTAGCAGAGTGATTATTTCAAATCTTCAACATAAAAACCTGAATCCAGAGCAACTGAGGGGCATTTATTGTCAATGCTTTCGCACCAAGCCCCATGCTATAAAAGAGAAGGTACTGTTGAAACACACAAGGGGTTCTGCTGGCACAGGACCAGTATATTGCAATTAGCAAATGCCATGGGTAGTCTTCACTCGAGCAGGCAGTGGTGATGCCCTCTTTGAAAAGAGGGTGCACAGATCTTGTTTCGAGATTCCTTTTTGAGTTAAAGCGAACAGTGCTAAAATCTAAACTGAATTAAGACACTGGAGATGGACTGAAGCTGAGGATTTCACTAGCCAGACCATCACACCCTCCGATCTCTCTATCATCTGGTTACTCAGTGGTCTCTGTCTTTGACCAACCGCATAAAAGAAATCTCTGTACACTGAATTGGTACTTGTCGATGCTTGTGTGTTAAAATTCGGGATGCCTTGGTTAAAGTTTTACCTCTTTGGAGTATGTCATCAGAATGCAATAAGATAGCAGTGCTCCATCCTTTCGTGACAAAGGTTTTATTTGTGATTCTAAAATTTCCAGTATAAGTTTTCCTGTTTACCAGTTTGACAGTATTTAATCCTGTAAGTGAATGATGCTCTGTTTTCATATTCCTGCAGGCTCTCCCACGAATTATGGTTCAGTCTGCCACTATTGACGCCAGCGCTGCAAGGATAAAGCAGGTAAGCACATCCCAGGATGTGACGGTACAAATTTTCATATTCATGTGCCTGGAAACCAGAGGTGGCAAAAGCAGCCGCTGGGTTGGCTACTCAAAGCCTGTTGCACTTCTGCTGCTGCTTCACTGTGAGACAATGAAATGCCATGTGTGTTGTGCTGTCTTTTCTTAGGTCCTGGTAAAATCTCCCCCTGTATCGCTGGTTACACTTTCATATTTGAAAGCCTGGTTAATCATATGATTGCAGTAGCAGTTAACTAGCTAAAATTTAGCTGTGTTGCTGCTTCAAAAGGCAAATTGCTAGGCTCTGACGCTTTCTATAAACAGAACGTGTCTGTTAGAAATCCTGAGCGTTGAGCTCGATTCGCAATTTTACATTTCAAGCCAATTCTTGATATTGGCGTGAAAAAAAGCCTCTTGCTAAGCTGGAGAGAAAATAGACCCTATGATCTCCCACAGTTCAGCGGAACTTCAGGCTTATGAATCGCAAATCAGCCTTCTCCCCCTCTGCTTTTATTGTCTTAGCAAAGTGTGTGTTATCTAAACACTTAAAAGGGAAAACCCAAAGAAAGAGCAGAGCTCAAGAGTCTGCATGTAGATCATCCTCTCCATAGAAAAGCTAAAAATATGTTTTTAATCCACAGGAATATTTCAAAAAACTTCCGTATTATATTTCACTTAGCAAGAGCAAGCTAGCCTTTGGTTCTGAAATTCCTGTAATTCAGTCAAATCCCTCTTTCTTCAAATGCGGCTTACATGGAAAAGGCACTTCAGATTAAGGTGAAAACCCTGTAGTTTGGGGCACTTAACCACTTGATGGGATAAACCACAAAATTTTGAACAGTAAACAAAAATGTGCACCTGAGAGTTAAGACAGGAGATGTACAAATCTGCCATCCTCCAACCACTTTTTTTTCCCTTTCATATTAGCAGCCTCCTCCCTCCCTTCCTCCCAAAGAGATTTAGAGACATCCTAATCTTTTAGAGTACATGTGCTGGCAAAAGATATTGATCTATCAGATTTAGTAAACTTTACAGCCAAGAAATACATCACTAAAATGGGCTGTTAATCTCATGAGGTGCAGTTAATTTCATACTCTGTAAGTGTGTGGTGCTGGCGGCATTGAGGTGGGAATGGCATTTGGAAACGGGGACATAAATGACAGTTTAGTTTGAGAGGGATGATTTATCAATCCTGAGAGTTAAGCCAAATAACTGAGAGAGACTTATAGATCATGGCTCTTTCACATTTCATATAAATCCTGCTATTCAAACAGCAAATGACCATTCCTGTAATATAAATAATTTTTCAGTAAATATTGGGGAACGTATTTCTTTTAGTTGACACTTTTCTTATTAATGGAAGAAATGAGCTGACAATCCTACCAGGTTTGCACAGCTGACTTCGGATCAGCTTGCATCTTTTGGAGATTGCGGCTACACAGGGATTTAGACAAGCTGAAGGCCTTAGAACATCCCAGAGGCTTTGTATCTATCCTTTTAGCCCAGAGGTTTTGGATAACAGATCCACAGTACCTATCCTCTTCTGTTTCAGATTAACCAAGAGGAAGTAGTGAGACAGCCATTCGAAACTGCAGTGCAGACGCCTGAGGCGGACAAGAGTCCGGAAAAGACACCCAAAGTGCCTTTGCAGCAGCCCACAGGAGACACCCAGGCGCAGGACTCCCAGGAAGGACCTCCAAGTCCTCTGAGTGAAGCCTCCAGTGGGTACTTTTCTCACAGCGTCTCGACAGCCACCCTCTCTGAAGCCCTGGCAGCAGGAAGTGATGCTGTGGCTCAACCAGGAGGTCAAATCCCTGCAGTGAGCGACATCCCAGCTCCCGCTGTGGCTCAGGTCTCTTCTTCGGACATGGCAGGGCACTCAGACAGTTCTTCAGAAAGCTCTCTCAGTACTAAGAGAGAGAGTCTGCCCGCCTTCAGCCTTCCAAGTGCTCACGCAAGACCTAAAGACAGCACTGAAGTGAATGGAAATGATGCTTTGAAATCAAAATCTTGCACATCTCCTGTGACTCAGAGTGAGCAGGCTAACGATGCCTCTGTAGCCACGGATGAAAAAACCTTTCTTACTACCTCCACTCCAAGGAAGGAGTTGTTATCCAAACAATCAATGGAGTCAGCAGGACAAGCTAGGAAAAAAGAAATGGTTTCTGGGGCTTCAGAACTGGGGTTTCCCAAACCACAAATTCATCCCGACCAACTGTCCCAGCCTAGTGTTGCAGCCTCCCCTTTCAAAATCCAGAAAGTCAAGACATCAGAGCTCAAGTCCTTTACAAGCATGCTGGGGACAGATCCCACGTGTTCACCCAACACAGAAGAGCAGCAAGAAGGAGAAAAGAGCACGTCTGCTGCCCATGGACTGAACCATAATGGATCAGAGGTGGCAGAAGAAAAACTAGAGGTGACTTCTGACTCCGAAGACACCAATGACATTCCCGAGTGGCTGAAAGAGGGAGAATATGTCACAGTTGGGGCAAACAAAACAGGCACCGTTAGATATATCGGGCCCACGGACTTTCAAGAGGGAACATGGGTTGGTGTCGAACTGGATTTACCTTCAGGTAAGATATGACTTAGGCTGGGGGTAAGGTGGACAGCATGTCAGAGTTTGCAGTGTCCATTGTAATGCTGCTTTTTGATGAGGAGGGCGTTCATTAGCCATTACTGGGTGCATTTTGAGAAGGGGAATATGAAAGATCTTTCCCTGCACAAGAAGAAAGGAGGATGATGGCTGGCGTTTGTTCTCTGCTGGAGCTTCAGGCTTTGTAACTCCTTTCCTCTGCAGGTTCACGTCCACTTTCCTGGGACTTGATTTCTCCAAGAGCAGGCAGGACTGGGGGAAAACAGGGCGTGCTAGTGGAAAAACTCAGGAGGCAAGTGGTAGATAGCGCTGCCTTTGATGGTAAGAGGGTTTGGTTTACCAAAGGCGTGTAAAGCTCCTTATTTCAATCCTTTTAACCAAGTCTGCAGTGCAGGCTCTGGTGGGTGACTCAGCGCGTCCCAGGGAGTTGCCCACGCTTCTCTCTGCTGCATACGTCCCTGGGATTGGAGCTGTTCACCAAGATAAATGCTGAGCCAAGGATCCAGAGCTCCCATTACATGAGCAGTTATCATCCCTAAATCAGCTAAACTGGATGGTGTGTTTCCAGCTGGTTTCAGAAAACTCTCTGGAGTTTGCCAACTCCCATTACATGAGCAGTTATCATCCCTGTGCATGGTGTGCTCGTAAAAGCTAAACTGGATGGTGTGTTTCCAGATGGTTTCAGAAAACTCTCTGGAGTTTGCCACCCCCGAAAGCAAACTGTAGCTCTGATCCCTTTGGAAATTGTAGACCAGATTCTCAGCCCTGAATTCATGCCTTATTTAATAAATAAATAAATAAATATATTTAGACCCATTTCAATTTTGGAAAGTCACCTTCCCTCCCTATCTGGCTACTCTGGTCCACATTCCGAATACTCGTAAGCTGTTTGCACATTACCCGGTAAGCATCAGCTTCACTGTCCATGGAAGAGTCAAATGGCCACAAGATTTTTGGTCTGTTGAGGACTCAGCTGCAGATGTTACTGCGTATTTTTTCCCCGTGTGTTTCCACAACTCAGAAAACCAACTCAGAAAACTCCTTCCCTCCTGATAGTTTGCTAGTGCATCTATTGCTGAGCTGATTATTTGACACTTCTGGTGAAATGAAAGAATTCCCCTGAATAGCAAGCAGGGGGAAGAAGGAGGTGGAGCGTCCCATTCAGAGCAGCTGTCTCCATGCAGTGGCTTTGCTGGTGTTCAGCAGTGAGGTAAACTGGTGTCACTGCAGCACAAACCTGCAGATAGTGGTGTCCAAAGAGTCGGATTCATCACCTGGCATGGAATTAGCCAATCTCACAGGCCAAGTCGAGGCGTGGGTTTTATTTCAGAGTTGCTCAAGGCTGGGTGCTCGGTGGCTTTCACCTGAGGACAGGTCAGCTTTAACTTTCTTTGCCAATTTGGCATCTCAAGTCCGTATGTCCCGCTTGTTCCTTAAAATAACGCTAGGCCCCTTTGTTCTTTTAATTACTACTCGCCTAGTTTTTCTTAACTAAGATCCACAGAAGTTAGCCTGACCTAGATCAGTATCTAGGATCAGCACACAACATTTTCCAACACCAGGAGCCACCTGAATCAAGTCCAGCCTTCTGCTGTCGCAGGCAGCTGCTTCCTCTAGTCTGAGGATTTTACCAAGTTCAGATGTAAAACCAGCTGATGATTTTTTTTTTTTAATTTTCACTCCTGTGGGAAGACTGCTCCCACTTCTCTACTTCTCTGGTAGTTGGAAGACTTTATATCGATAAGTGTATCGATCTTCAGATTTGTTTGCTCTCGTACGAGTTTTTTCCTCTAGCGCCCATAGCGCTCCCTCCTCTTGGGCGTTTACCTTCGCAATCTATTTATGGGGAACGTTGTTTTCCCTCTCAGCATCTTCTTCTTGCTTTCTTCTTTTTCTCTCCTCCTAGTAGCACACCATAGGTGCAGAATAAAAGCCATTTTGTCTATCATCTTTCTTTCTCTTCTTGTCCAAGGTAAGAACGATGGCTCGATCGGAGGGAAGCAGTATTTCAGATGCAACCCAGGCTACGGATTGCTCGTCAAACCAAGCAGAGTTAAAAAGGCCACGGGACCGGCGAGACGGCGGAGCACGGGCTTGAGGTTCCCAGGAGGAGCCGCCGCCGAGAACAGGAACCGGCTCAACCTCCAACCTGGCTTCGCTCACAGCCCTGGCGAAATCCGAAGGAGGATCCACACTGCGACCAGAGAAGAGCCAGAAAAACGCAGAGAACAGGAAATCCTGGGCAAACTGAGCCAGCCCTACCCACCGCAGCGAACACCGCGCAACGCAGCCTGGGGAGCAGGTCATCTCGCTTGGGGAAGCTCAACCAACCAGGGGAACTTGTAGTTTGCAGCAAACACTAATGAAGGGTTTTTTCTCTGCTTTGGGTGATTGACATGTTAATTCTTTGCCTTGTCATGGTGCTGGATCTACATCCTTCGTTTCCTGTTACAAGTTGTGACGCTTCGGGGTACGACTGATGGCAGCCGGGAAGCTCTGCTCTCTTCCGCCTTGCAGAGAAGGAAGAGACGCATAAATTGTTCCAATTCTGGCGTGGCTTTCCTACAAAATACCACCCACGCACCAGCGCTTCTCTGTGTGACTGCCAATTCTAAAAAAAGAAAACAAACAAACAAAGCTCCCCAAAATAACAGTTCTTTTCCAATTTCATAAGAGCTGTATCCATATCACGTAACACATGGTGAAGAGGCAAGGTTATAACGATTCCAGACAAGCAGAGAAGCGAACAGAAAACTTTATTTGGAAATAAGGAACCAAAAACCCCCTTTATTTAGAAAAGCACCAGCTCTTTGGTGATGGGACCGGGGACCAGTGCCCATTTTGATTCTCTGTAGCTGATTTTTTGGGAACAGAAGGCCCATGACCCACTCCGTAATATTTTTGACCTCTCCTTTTTTAGGAGAGAAGGGAGTTGAGCCAGTTTGCTGTCTGTAATCTATTTACCGTGCACTCTCACCATGACAGGATCCCCTCTCTTAGTTGTCCCAAAGGACGGCAGAACCTTCTCGTTGGCTCTGTCCTTTGGGCCACGATGGTTTTTGCAGAGATACCAACACTTACGTGCTTTGACATTCCCACCCAGCCTTTGGAGACGCTTGGATTTTTACAGTGATGCAAAGCAGAGGGTCGCTGTCCTTGTAACAGGATTAACCCAGTCTATTTATTTTAATTTATAATTTTAAAAGATGAAATGTTTGCGCTTTACAATCATCCACCACCTGACGCTGTTGCACAGAGGAGCTCGACTAGCACCGTACCGCCCGTCGATCCAAAGAGGAGGTGCCTCTGTCGCCAAACCGTCCCAGTGGCACGCGAAAGCAAACCCGGATAAAACAGCTGAAGAGTCGTCCCCCAAACTAATCTCTCTCTTGAAAATGGGAGGTTTGGGCTGGCTTTTATAAAACTTGATTTTATTTTTGGTAACCTTTGCTAGTTTTTAACTGCCTGGGGCCCAAATGATATATTACTATACATGCGTGTGTATCTACATACATTCGTTTTCTAACAAATCAAGAAAGGCCACAGACTTTTATATTCTGAGCTGTTTCTGTCTTGTTTAGTCATCACAGGGACAGCTTGAGATGTTTTATCTACACAGGGAATATTTAAGATGCTAAATTAACGATTAAACTTTAATACGTATCCAGCCTCCGCCCGTGCTGCACGTGGGTGTCTAAGTGCCTTAGCCATCTGGCTCAGAGGTCCAAGGGAGCGATCCATTGTCATCAGAGGAGGTAGGGATGCTGAGCGAAGGAGCTAATTATGCTGATTTACTGTAATTAATATCATTTATGCAGAAGGAATAAAATTAAAATAGAAACTAATCTGTAGCAGAAATAAGTGGGATGGGTTACACGCATAGTACTGCCAGGGATTCGTCTGTCCTTTCAGCTTTTTGTAACTAGTGTCAGTGTTTCCTAAATTTTCGTAAAGAAATCTTAATATAAAATGTACAGACCAGCTTTTAAAGATATTTTTAGTGTACAGTTTTTCCTCCTTTTCCTTTGCACGAAACTCCTGTCTGTTCAAGCCAAGACGATGGGAGAAATTTAGTAATAAAAGAATTCAGACGCTAAACTCCTGGTTTTTAAAATTGTAGCTGTTTTTGTAGACGTGATTCATGCCACAAAACGACATTTCGTTTTGGGGTAAGACGAGTCTTGCTGAAGAAAGACCACTCGCTAATTAATCCGATGCCTCTTGTACGTTTGTAAAATCTAAGGGGGCCCTGTAAGTTTTCTAAACCCCATCTTTTCCGTTTTGCTAATTGCACTTTGTTCCGATGTGCTGCAGGAAGTTACCCAATGGGAAACAGCTCCCTAACCCAGACTTGGATTTTTTTTTTTTTTTTTTTTTTCAGTCTCAGCATTTCATTTACTGGATTTAGGGATTTCTTGAAAACTTCTTGATGTTTGCTAGGTGGCCCCTTTGGGGGAGATATGAAGGGAAGAACCTGTCCAAGTCCTTTCGAAGCTTCTTACCTTGCGCCGCTGTCTCTGAAGGGTGGAATTCTCCGGGACCAACGTAAAGGTATCAAAGGCGCAGGAGTGAAGGCGTCGAGCAGCAGGCGGTTGGGTTAATAGTTCACTGTTTATGCAGTTTGAACAGAACACGCTCGATGCCACCTCTGGCGTAAATGGTCCTGGAAGCAAACGTTTTAAATATGACCGGTATGTTTTGAAGCACCAGAGGATGATTAGCGTGATGCTGTGGCTCTGTTGGCTTTGGTGGAGGGAGGATTTTACTCGGAGCTCTCTTGGTTTTTACTGTCACCTTTGACTTTTGAAACTAAACCTCTCCTCAAATCCCACCCTGACGCCTGTCCCAGAAATGAAGCCATCGAACCAGATCACCCCAGTGCCGTGCAAGCTCCAGAAAGCCAAACAAATCACATCCTTCCGTGAGGACGTTCTTAGAGGACTTCTCTGACTCCCTCCTGCTCGCCCCAGCTTTCGGGGGTACGTGGAGTTTCTTCAAAAGATACTTTCCAAGATTTTTTGGCGCGGTGAGTGCACATCCCTCTACTCAAAGCCATCTGTTACTTTGCACTGGCTGAGCCAACTAACCAGAAAACAGTTTAAAACCTTAATGAAGGTAATATATCTTTTTTTTTTTAATTGATAACATGAGAAAAACTCTACACTCAGCATAAAGCAGGAGGTGCTCTTAACTGGAAGCGCCAGCGACTGAGGCTGGCGTGTCAGTAGCTATGCATATTGCCCAAGGTTTTCATGCACTTTATCCAGGGGAGAAGAATTTGTAATGCAGGAACTGTGATTTGTAGCGAGTGTCTCATCTCCCGTGTCTGCTCGGTGGTGCGAGCTTGCTGTCCGTGTCCCGGAGCCGCGGATGGGTCTCGGGTTCTGGGTGTAGAGAATTGTGTTGGTGGGTAGGACTTTTTTGAGTTTTCTCGAACCAAGCCAAGACTTCTTCCTGTGTTATATTCAGCTCTCTCGTGGCGTTTTGATCTCTTTGTCCAAATCACACCTGTTCAGTTGGAGGGCTCTTTGCTGTTTAACGATGTAGGTTAGTTGTGGAAAACTAATAGAAACGTGTGTAATACTGCCCGAGTCCTTAAGAAGAGCGTTTTGTCCGTGTTTGAGATGGAAGCTCCCAGGAGGCAGGATGTTCAACACCTCCTTGTCCTACAAACCAAGAACCCCCCCTCGTTTCCTACCTGTTGTGAAAACCCATCCGAAGCGACCTTCGGTGTTGTACAGACCCGTGGGTGTGGTAACGGAGCTGTTGGAACGTCTTTTCTGTGTTGACCCTCGTGTTGTCCTTACGCTGGCGCCGCCAGCTCTTTGCACAAGCAGTTCCGCTCTCGCAGTGCCTTATCCTGGGGCAGCAGCCGACGCAGCGAGGGGCTGGCTTCACACCGCCCTCGGGGCTGCCCGGCTGCTGGAACAGGAGATCGTGGTCACACTACAAAATACTCCGGGGTCACAAATCAGTCTCTTGTTCCTACACCTCCTTTGGTTTTTGCTTTGGTTTCTGCTCTCCCCACCCTCCTCCTAAGCCACCATCGTATTTTTCACCCCCAGAAAGGCTCGGCTGC